TGTAAAATCAAAGCAAAGCAACTCAAAGCTCAGCTTTCCCTGGACCAATCTGAACTGAGTTCCAGTCCTTGACTGTGAAAAAGGAGCAGGTCGTAGACGAAAGTTCCTCCATCATTTTACAGAGAGATAAATTCTCCTTTCACTTTGTCTGGGAACATGTTGACTTACTGGTGTAACCTGAAGCCAAAGTGACTTTCAGGACCCTGATAATGTATAACACCAACTAATGAATTATCTGTGTGCCGTGTTACACCGTGACGGAGAAACGTGTTCATGCATAACGTCAGCCAGTCTTTCCACTCGACTGATCGTCAAAGCCACAAACCTCTGGACAAGAAGCGGTGAGTAGCCAGCAGCAGCTGCGGCGAGGTGCGGATCTTGGGTTCTCCCTCGGGGGTTTTGAAAAGAGAGAACTCCTCGTGGACAGTGCGTGGCTCTAAGGGAATCTCCAGCGGTGGAAGGGGCCGCTTCACCTTCCTGTCCACTACAGAACAAAACAAGTCATCAAAGTACAAGCAGAGACGGCCGCAGCTGCTGACGCTTCATGACAGACACTTACAGTAGCCGTCAGACTCATCCAGGATTTCAGATTTGATGATCTCCTCAATGACATCCTCCAAGGTGACCAGTCCCAGCACCTCGTAGAAGGGATCTCCCTCCCCCTCGTTGTTCACCTTCTGGACAATGGCCATGTGTGAGTTACCTGGTGGGAGTATTATTATTATTATTATTTGATTACTGGTTCTTCAAGTGAGGTTGGTTTCATTCCTCCACCACCCCCCCACCCCCAAAATGCAGCCACTGACATCAGCACAATGAAGTACAGTAACCCACGATTGTTACCTTTCTTGAACTCCTCCAACATGGCGTCCAGTTTTGTGTCATTGAAGACATAGTGCAGTGGGTGATTGTAGAACTTGGTGATGGTGCTCATGGGGGTGCAGTCTTCTGGGTCCACCAGGGCCAGGTCCTTTACGTACAGTATTTCCACGATGTTGGACCTGAGGAGACAAAATGAGAAAGTAAAAATGAATGAACTGCATCCATTGGTATTACTGGGATATTTCTATGGTATTTATTCCAAGGTTAGCAGACAGTTTTTATTTTTCTATCTACAATTTATCAAGACTTGAGTTTGACATCTGACATCATTGACTATCATAGTGGGGGCAGATCATCCACCCTGTGTTCCCTCTCCTCTGCTGTCCCTGTCTGTCTGTTTCTGACACTGGACTTAATGGACTTCATCAATTCTGATGCAATTTCCATTGTGATAAATACACTTTGGTAACTTAAATGTGTGGCCCCCACCTCTCCTCCTCATAAATAGGCACTCTGGTGTATCCACACTGCATGATCTCTGACATGGTAGAGAAGTCCAGGACCACCGAGCTGGGCAGCATGAAGCAGTCCTTCAGAGGGGTCAGAATGTCCTCCACTGTTTTAATGCGCAGGGTCCCACGGCTGAATTCCTCCTTCACAAATTCACTGTAGAAACACAGACATGGTCACGTGTATGTGTGCAGCATCACAGTCATTCCAGAACAGCAGTTATTTTATCAGGGCAGGAGATTTACAGACAATATTTTTACAGTTTCCTGATTTAATGTTAACAACACAGAACTCGGAGTTCGTTGGGACTGACGTACTGTACATCAGGACCAATGTCCCTCACCTAGGCTGATACAGTGGTAACATCATCATTCAGGACATAAGGACATCAGAAGAGACTGACTTATGCCTGGGAGCCACAATGAAGGACAAAAAGTTCCCCAAAACACAGCACAATCCAATGTATGGCGTACCATTGGCAACATACGTATCCGTTCGCTGCGTCTGCCATCTAGTTCCCTTTGATGTTTTAACTCTAATACAAAATATAAAAATGATTGCTACGTTGGTGACTGTGAATTAATTAATTTCATTGTCTCTTTATGTTACGCGACACAGACACGTTGAATCAGTGACGAACAAATGTTCTTGATTCTGAGGATCAAGAGAGGCTGGACTTACCTGTAAGGGTCGTTGATGTTGGCCCGGATCATCTCCATGGCCCGCTCTCTGATTCCACAGGTGCTGATGTCCCTCCTCAGCCCCAGGTCCAAGATCAGCCCCAGGGGACAGGACAGTGGACAGGTGAGCACCATGCAAACCTGAGCCAGCCAGGTCAGACCCGGTGCCAGCTGGAAGCCGTAACCAGAACACAGGACGTGAGGGCCCAGCTCAGCCAGGAAGAAGATGAGGAAGGCGCTGGTGAAGACCGCTGAGACGATGGAGCCCAGGGCCTTGAAGAGAAGGACACCAAGCACCGAGTGTCCCAGAGCGCACAGGAAGAGCAGGGAACACGCCTGAAAAGTGACCAAAGAAGAACCATAAAAAATATAGAGTTTTGGATTTGATGAAAAAAAAAGGTTGTCCTTTTTTTAAAAAAATAAGGTGTTGTTCAGAATCAGATAATGAATAAAACAGAATTTTAAGATATTAGTTATTTATTAGTCATTCTTTCTGTGCAGCTCCGTACCAATTGACCCACAGACTGGTGCCAGTCCGCAGACCGGGGGTTTGGGGACCACTGCTCTAACTGGTCAAACTTTATTAGACACATCATTAGAATTTAATATAGCTTAGCATATGGTTAAATTGATTTTTTTTTCTTTATTTTCTTGAAGAAACTTTGTTTTAGTCCAAAGTCGTTATTTGAAGCTGCAGCAGAGTCAGCAGTAGTTAACTAGTCAACTAGTTAAGTTGACTGTAGTTAATCTTGTCGGTGACGCAACTAAGACTGTGTGTTAAACTATAGACCCTTGAGCGATTGAGTTTTACACTACTGATCAACAACGACCCCGGGGTGTGAACTGTTGTTTGTCTCCATAAGTAACTCTGTGATAGGCCGGTGTTTCTGTAACAGACCGCTGCATTCTCACGTGCAGAAACTCGAGTGAAAAGCAGCTGAGCTGTTTTGAGGAGCCTCTCTCAGCTGGGGGCCCCAGAGACATTTATTTTATTTACCTCAGGATTTTAAAACCCCCGTGCTTCCCGAAACATACCACACATTTTCCCTCCTGCTTTTTCCACTCAAAAAACAAAAACCTACCAGAAAGTTCCCCCTCCTCCTGAGTGGCTCCAGGCGCTTAGCGGCCCGTTTCTCCTCCTCGGAGCCACAGCTGTGGAGGACGTAGAGCTCCACGGGGTCCAGCCACAGCAGGCTCAGGTTCACTGTCCTGAACAACGTGCAGAGAAGAAGCAGCAGCACTATCAGCACGGCCAGAGCCCAGGGGGGAGGGTAGTCTTTGGGCCAACATTCGGTGTTTATCCGCAGTCTGTCAGCGCCCGCGGATGCCCACTTGCCTTCACTCAGTACACACAGGTGGTACATCTGCTGGTCGTCAGCTGCTCCCGCAGAGATGCTCTTTCTCTGGACCTCCACCGTCACCAGCCCGCTGTTTACCTCATTCTGCATGAACTCCCCCGTCACCTGGAAAGCCGATTGTTGACGGCTGGATTCCTGAAAGCAGGGGTCGAGCGCATTCCCGACCGATGCCCCAGCAAACGCCACCCACGGCCAGGTTCTATTCAGATCAGCCCCGAAGAGACGAAGCTTGAACGTGGCTCCTTCTGACGCCGAGATGATTCGGTCCTTCATGCACACCAGACCCGATGGCTCTTCCAGTCGTAGCCCCAGGATTAGCGGACCTTCCTGGCTACAGGCGCCGTACCTGATCCCAAACAACAACAATAACATCAACAGCAACCGTAGACCTGCCAAGCTGGCCACCATATTGAAATTGGTCAGTCTGGCTCTGCGCGGGTCATGTGACTGTTACATTGGCTCCGCCCACTTAGAGCGTGAAAGAAAGGCGGGGGAAGTCAAAGAAAACAACTTCAGTCACTGTAACGGAGTGGCGAGACGGCCATTTTGGCCCTTAAAGTGATCATTTACAACAACAATATTATATAAAGGCAAAAAGAAAGCAAAACTCGTTTATATAAAACAATTTAAAAAACAAAGCATCAAAACACACGAAAACATACATAAATAAACTTAATCTTAAGCGTGTAGCAGATATTTTGTGACTTTTAGGTTTAAATAGAATGTAGTCCTGAAACAAAGTAAACCTGTTTTTGATGGATTAAAAAGGAATATAGCCAGTCAGAAGCTAGCACAAATGAGAGTTTACTGTTGTATTAGGACGTTATATTGCATTTCCTTTGCAAAAGAGGCCACTGAAGGTGTAATTCTGGCCCCCAGCACGTTGAAGCTCAGGTTCAAAACAAAAATGTCTGCATATGGGAAAGTAGAATTGAAAACACTGTTGCTAGTGTACACACAACTCTGTCAAAGGGCGACCTGTGGCTGTCCTAGTCTTGTTATGCCTAAAATATCAATGTAATATATTGTCTGTCAGCTTCTGCTTCTTGTTGTTTGTTCATTCAAAACATCGTCATTTGTTGTACTATATTCAGTGAACACTCACATTCAGTTGTGAATGAATGATCTACCCTGCAGTAGAAAATCTTTAACCTTCATGCAGATCTTATCACAACACCACTGCAGGAGCTCTGCATAGGTTCTGTCTCCCACCATGCTTCCCATAACCCAGCACCAGTCCTGTTGCAAAAATAAAAACTAAAATCTGCACAATTAAAAAGAGCTTAACCAACTGGCTCAGCAGTTGATGCTGGAGGAATTTCGCTATCGCTTAGAGACGAGAACAGAGTGAAAAATACTGGTGAGGAATGGGAGTAGCCGGGAAAAGGAGTGAAGGGGAGTGAACAGGAACCAGGCGCCAGTGGTGGCAGGAAAGAATCAAGGCTGAGAAAAAAAAGGCTTTGGTCATGAGCTCCCCTGAAGGGAAATATAAAGGAGACAGATGTGTAGATGATTTGAGGTCAACTCTGTGCAACATTTTATTGCTCTGCAATCTGTAGTAAAATAGAAATAAAAACAAACAAACAAACAACAACACCGACTGTCTTTATAAATAGAGCTAAAGTCTTCATCGTCTCTCTCTTAGCTTCATACAAATGCCTGTGACTTCATGTAGAGTATTTACAGTCAAACCACACAATGAGAAAACAGAAATGAGAAACACAGTGATTCCAGGTAGAGTCAATTCGCGTGCCTTAACAGCCGTAAGCCTGTTTCACAGAATAACACCTTTAGATGTGCATTGTTTACAACCTTAAAATCAGAAAATGAATATAACTGGACTTGGTCAAACAATCAACTTCACATTTCCCATGGCCAGACGATGGCTTCACTGAAACCATTACAGGACCGAGTGCTGCAGGAGAGCGTCATATAAACCAGCAGGAAGAGTAAGGCTTTAATTAATGTGTATTTGAAGGAGTCAATGTTTCTGCTAAATATTTGAAACCTACAGTTTTTATCTTGGGTTTTAAAATACCTCCTATGTACTGTGTTTTTCTTATTCTGTGATTTATTTTGCATTAAACATTATAAAAGAACGTCAAAGTCAATACTAAAACAAAAACAAAAACACTAATCTTTTGTTTTTTGAAATTGTGATCCTTAAATGTGCTGTGTGTAAGAGTTGCCAAATATGGCCAGATAAAATAGTAGAGGCTAAATCAAACTCCAAATGATGAGGGTTTTTTTTTAAAACAAAATAGAACAGTCTTTACTGTCTTTGTGTAATGGTTGAAAATACACAACAAAACTAAAAGGACACTTTTTTTTAATTTAGAGAAAACAAATGCACATGAAGAAAAACTAGCCACTCCCATAAAACATGGTACACTGCAACCAATATACCAACTGGGTATTTGTTCAATTTCTAAGTTTACATAAGTTATACACTGGGTCTTTAATTTGACAAATTAACCATTGTTTCCATAATAGTTCATTTTTGATGCTACATTTGCTTGTGGTTAGCCAGAATGCTACACAATAGATGCAGATTGTATCGAGGAGTGTCCGCTGTAAGAATATTAAAACTGAATTCTCATAGTGTGAATTATGAATAATAATGAATTATGTTTGTTAATTAATAAATGTGTATTGATTATTGGGGAATACATGATGTACTTAGATGACACAGTGTACACTCTATACTCATTTTATTTCAATGTTTTTCTTCAGAAAAAAAATATATATATAAATTACTTTTTTCCCATATCTAGGCTACATCCTTTAAATTTAAAGTGTTTTCAAACCAGTGCAAGATTATACAGTCATACAGTTCCCTCCCTCCCCATTGGCTGGGTTCTATTTTATCCACTTGTGTCTTTCTCAAGTAAACAACATTTCGCTGTTTCATCAATTATATAAAATTATGTTTTCAGTGGCTTAATTGCTTCAGTTTCCCTTCACATGTAAGAAAAATGTTATGGAATAACACCCTAGCAGCTCTAAGGTCTCTGTCTGTCTCATCCATGCGAGAGTGAGGATGGAGCCGCTGCCATTAGTCTCTCTAAGCCTATGAGGTCAGTCCACTGGAGCACAAGCCAACACCCTCCAAACACAATGTCAATTTCACACATTTTATAATGTACTTCATCATAAAGTGACAAAGTAAAAAAAAAGATCTTCTTTGGAAACAAACAATAAAAGCAAATTAAAATACAAAAAAAAAAAAAGAAGAACAAAACAACACACATTTCCAGGATTTATCCAGTACCAGCTACAAACATCCTTCATGTCACTGAAGTTAAACTGCTCAGAAATGTACTGTGGGACTTCTGGTTGGACAAAGGAGGGGACAGACATGCCAAAGGGCTGCTTCTGTACATCTACATCTGCACTGTCTTCAAGTCGACCCTGTCTTACCAACATCATCATCTACATTAGCTTCATGTTGAAAAATCTGAAATGTGAAGACAAGTTCAGCAAACAAAAGGAGACTCAACTCTCAACTCTAACCGTCACCCATCTGCTACCTACACCAACCAAAAAGAACATTTGTCTCCTGGAAATGAAAAGGGCTTTTATGAACTCTTTATTAAAAATAAAGACAAAAGACGAAAGTCAAAATAGGCTAAAATGAGCCTGAAAATCAAACACACAGCTCACATCCAAAGCAGAAGCCTGAACAGCAGTGCAGTTGAAACACCCTAAGAATAGAATAGAACAGAATAGAATAGGCTTTTACTGTCATTGTACAACGTGTGGATTTAAATACATTTTTCTTTAGTGACCAGAGGAACTAAAATTAGGGGAAACAGTTGACAGTGACATTTGAACTTAATCTGAGTTTTGTTCTTAAAGTAAAATTGCATGCACTCTGGCTAATGTACTTGTACTTGAGTGTGTACTACTGCTTGTACTACCTGGGTGCTAAGCGGTAAATACTCAATACAACTAATTATGAATATTTATTTATAGTTACTCTTTCGTTGTGCAGTGTATTTGTATAATCAGTTCTCCACATAATTGTCATCTAGGGCGCCATCTGCTAGAGGTCGTGATGCTGCAGCTCCACCAAAAAAATTAACAATAAGGGTGTTGGATGGAGTGGCGCTTTGGCCCAGAGGCAATGTCTCTGTCATTGGTGTGGAACCCCAGGGTTCACCTCCTGGGCAAGTTCGAATCCCGGTTAGGGCGGTTGGTATCTTCCAGTGGACTCACCACCTGCAGGAAGGTTTGGTACGGTGCAATGTGATTTGGGTGGCGACTGCTGCCCCCGCGACCCGGTAACGGATAAGCGGATGAAAATGGATGGATGGATGGGTGTTGGATGGGCGCCAAAATGGTCAGAGCTGACTGTGTGTTTAGATAGCAACCTGTTGATTTTATTTTAATAGAAGACGAAGCACCAACAGGCCGTTCTAACTCTACTGTGTTTGTTGAAGCTGGTAAATAAAAAACAGGTCTATATCTTTATATCAAATATGGCTCGTGCTGTAGTATTTTTAGAGTAAGTGTATGTGTAACACGGACCTAACATCAAAGGCTTTGACATCGAAACCACTGATTGATCCTTGCAGTTTGTTGTTTTGTTTTACAGAATAAACCATTCTACTCACAAATACTCCATCAGTGTACTCACCGAGAGACTACTTTTTTGGTGATAAGAGTTGTGTTACCCTGTTTAAATAATGCTGAATATTCTACAACAGTTATATCTGAACATTTCCCACAATGCACCAACTGGGGATTTGAACCCACGGTGGAGACACCTGTTATCATTATCAATACGTTGGAAAAGTGTAATTATTGCTCACTGTACTTGTTGAAACAGATTAAGTAAGAAGACACAGACAAATATACTGTAACTAAATATCCCAAACTTGACAAGAAACCTGGAAAACCTCCACGTCTGTGTCAAACCAACCAAAAAAAAACAACTCTGTTCAAGGTCATCCTGAGGTCCGACATTAAAGGAAGTCAACACAGAGATTAAAATACACTCCTCCAAACTTCAGAGCCTGTGACCTAAACAGAACAACAACAATAAGCCCTGACGAAAACAGCATCAGTGACGTGAACTATGATAGATGAACAAAACATGATGTTCCCATTATTACCCCATTATTGCTTAACATGTTCAACCAGTCTTTGTCTGCAGAACAGCGACCTGTTTTTTTGAACTCTTGAAGGAAAGTCTTCACTTTCTCCAGGTTGAAATTACTCCCTCGTTTCAACGTCTACATGACAACATTTTCAACAACTTTTAAATGAAGTGAGAGCAGACCTACAAAAAAGGTCCAAGTTGCCACAGATACGAGCCGTCTATAGGTTCTTTTCCACCAAAATTGTAAGTCGCTTTGAATAAAAGTGTCTGCTCAATGTCATGTAACGTTTCAGTGTCCAGTGTGGGAGACATGAGTGAATCCCAGCAGTCATTGGACAATGGTGGGGGACACCCTGGACAGTCCACCAGTCCATCACTGAGCCACATATAGAGACAGGTAACCATTCACACTCCCATTCACACCTGTGGACAATTTAGAGTGAACAGTTAACCTGATCCTGCATGTTTTTGTACTGGCTTCAACTTGTTACAGTACAGTACACAGTACTTCACATACTACCTTAATTAAAGACAAACTGGCAAAATATTTCCCCCACATTAGAGCAGCTAAGACACAGCTTATGTTTTTGGACTAAATATCTCCACAAAATGTGTTTCTCACATTTCCATCTTTGGAATTTCTTTTAAATAAAAACAAAACGGCTTTGGAATGTTTGTTGTCCATTAAACTTCACCGAAGACTCTCTGTTATCTCAAGAGTTAATAAATATAACAAGTCCTTTCTTGAGACGGGGCAGAGACGGTTAAATTTGATCTCCTGGGTTTCCAACTGGATTCCCAGCAGCCTCTTCACAGATCACTGACAAACACACTCCACCGTTTGACTGCAGCTGCTCAGGACAGTTCACAGCAGGAGGAGCACAACCAGACACATTCAAAGTAATTCTGACCAAGTTCCATTGCGTTGTTACAACGTCAGGGGGGTTTTGTCAGTTCATGGTCTAGAAATGTATTTCATGCAGTGGGATCTTATTGTTTTGACCTCACTATTCTGAGAAAGTGACTGGAACTGTTTCTGTAGCACAGACCAGGAAACAACTGCTGCTGTTATTGTAACCTAAACAAATGTCAATATAAAGGTGGAGTTTTCTCTGACAGGTCAGGTCAGGTCAGGTCAGGTCAGGTCAGGTCGGATGACCTCTGGTCCAGCTCTCATGTCTTTGTGAAGCCTCATGTTGAAGCTGGTCGTGGATCGAGCTCAAGTCACAGTGAGTGTTTATATCAAACAAACAAAAAGTCACACTATCTTAATAATGGTTTTCACAACCAAAGTAGGCAAATAAATAAATAAATAATTCAATAAATAGCCAGATAAATAAAGTATAAAAATTAAATTAACATTACACTTAAACAAACATATTTACTAAACATGTCATTTGGAAATCGAATTATTGAAATGGCCTTAGTCTGGATGTGAAGTCAGCAGAGACTGCTGGAATGGAACTGTCTGCAGGTTTACTGTGGGCCTGGTGTGAATTGATGACGTGTGGGTAAAGTCAACTGCTGATTGAACACAATTTCACCTGTGCTGACAATGAAGTCACACAGCAGCCACTCTGGCTCCAATCATCTGAATTCCACTTCCAATAAAAATAAATAAATAAATAAACATGACAGTTAATGTCACAGCTTTGTGGAAGTTTCACTCTTTGGGAAAAAAAAAAAAAAAAACCTGAAGTCACAGTCGGACACACGTGTCCCTGGACAGTAACCCGTGTGAGGCTGAGGGATGAAGCAAAAATGTGAGTCCAGCAGGTGAGAAAATCAAACCTCTGTTAATGCGTCCGCAGGTTCAGTTCATACAAATGACAAGAAGATTCGGATCAGGGATAAATAGGTCAAAGGTCAGCACAAAAACAGAGCCATTTGGTTGATGATTGTTCTATTATTGTTATTAACTGAAAATTATTTTTAATAAATAATCTAATTCAAAACCCCTCGGCAGAAATATGTTTATTAGTTGCCCCCCACCTCTCTGCCCCCCCCCGTCCTCCAGCTGTCACTAAGTAGATAGCAAAACCTGAATGACAAAGTGTTTCAGGACTAAAAAAGCAGAAGTACAGACGATTTATCATATTTGGATAAACCCAAAATGAATAAGGTAAATTTAACTTTGACCATTAAACACTTTTAGGATCTAAACACATCAGTGTCTTACTGACAACAACCAGAACAACACTCAAATGTCTCACTTCATCCTGGTTGTTCAGATATAGTACCAAGACACGATGAAAAGAACAACTGTTTGATTCTTTTGTTGGCATATGCCACTGACAGCAGCGCCCCCCTCTGGCTATGTCCCCAAATGAAAATGTATTTGAAATGATTTTGTGTTGTAAAAAAATACTATGGTTTCTGATGAACCAGTGAGCAGATTTACAGTTAAAATCAATTATAACTTGAAACTCGTTGGCTGCTCTGTGAACCAGGTCACATGGTACGACTGAAGCTAAACGAATACTGAAAGACTGTTTTCACTTAGAACTTCAGAAGGTTTTTGAACGTGTTACTTTTCTTTTTGTAATCTGTATGAACTGATGTTTGAAAACATACACACACACACACACACCTTAGTAGTTCTTTCCTCACTAGTGTTCTTCTGTGCCCATCTTTTGCCATCTGTTCTTTTGTGTCTGTGAGTGAGGGTCGGTGCATGCACGAGGTGATGGAGGAGACTTTCTGAGTGTGCAGATCCTCAGCTTCTCTCTGACAAGCAAACAACAGGAAGAGGAAGAAGAAGAAGTTGTGCCGGCCATGTTTTGTACGTGGGCGGGTAGTGTTTGTTTCCCCCGCGGGACCCCTAGTTAGATGGTGCTCTCGGTGTGTGCGTGGCTGATGGTGTGGCTGGGCCTATGTGGACTGAAACAGTTCTGCTGCTCACTGAGCAGAGTGGTGGTCTCCTCCGATCCGTTCTCTGGGCCAGCAGAGGGCGGTGACTGCTGGGGCTTGGAGGGCAGACCCTGGTGGGGGTTGATTTGGGACAGAGAAGTGTGGTTGTTGGCAGGGGAAGTGACCAGGACCAAGGGCTGGCTCGGCCTGCGGGCGTAGGAGGTCAGGGCGGCGCGGCCCCCCAGCGTCGTTGGCTGAGCGTTGTTGGGCAGCCTCTTTACAGGGGGCGTGGCCAAAGGGAGTGGGTTGCGTGTTCCTGGTGGTGTGACAGGAGGCAACGCTGTCAGCTTGTCCAGCTGAGAGTGACTGCCCTCCGGGGACTGCGGCGTGCTGTCCAGCCTGGACGCCAGGAGACCGTTCTGGTACTGAGCTCGAGTGATCTGCATGTGAAGACACACCGACAATTAAACATGACGCAAATATATAAATATATATAAATAATAAATATAAAATTATATATATGAAATATTATATAATATAAATATATACTATAAATATGTATAATATGTGGTTTGAATCCAAGTCCATTTTAGGAGTTCATGATGTTTTCTTGCAAACGTATCTATTCAGGGAAGAACTCTCATGGTAAACAAAACAAAGAAACAGTGCCTCAAGGTGGACAAATGACAGACCAAACATTTGCACTATTATCTTCGGTTAAAGAGTGTCCTACCTTTACATACTGCAGGTCAGACAGTGCTCGGACACAGAAGTCTGGTATGTACTGAAAGGGGGTGCCTGGGATCTGGGTGTTGCTCCCACTCACTGATCCGCTTTCTGGAGCACGCTCAGTGCAGCTAAGTGAAGCAGAGCGGTTAAGGTTGGCGCCGTGCAATGGAGACCGAAACTCTGGGGATGAAGGAGAGGGAAGTGAGCAACACAGTGAACATCAGAGACATACAGTATCAGTGAGTACCTGATCGGCGGCCGTGACAGAAATACACACTGACATGAAGAAATTCAGAAAACAGAATGTGCAACCAAACACAACACAAAACACACATAGATAGATCACACATAGATCACTGATTCCCAACCACTGTGTGTGCCGAGAGAGATCAATGATCCAATTTCACTGAATTGGTGTAAAGTTGTGTTAATTAATTAGTGCAAATAACTCACCTTGTGGAAATGAAAGGCAGAACAATTAAATACACTTACACTAGATGGCAGCAGATGGCTATTGAAGCTAAATTTAAAACATGAAATTACTGAAGATTTTCATGTCTTTCTTAATTCCTTTGTATATCAGGGTTGTGTTCAACTAAACAGGCCCAGGTCTCACACAGTAAATTGATTGTAGTAAATTAAAACCAGTAGATTATCATTATTACAGTATTACATATACACATCTTATTGTATTTTATTATTGCTTTAATACTGTGTGTCTATGTTGTGCTTTTTTTTTTTTTTACTTTCTTTGTTTTTCATTGTCTCTGTGTGTAATGCTGCTGCTACACTGTAATTTCCCAGCATGGGATCAATAAATAAGGATCAATAAAATCTGTCTGCCGGCCTGTCCGTCTGTCTGCCTGTCTACTGTTATGACATCATGTTCGTGTGGGGCAATAAAGGTTGGGAAACAGTGACATAGACAACCTACCATGTTCTCATGAAAATGCTGGTCATTTCTGCATTTACATCCATTTGCTTGAGTTGCAGTGTTTTGAACTCTCAAGGTCACAGTAATAATCATGGGTGAAGTCACATGACAGGAAGTGATGATCCACAACAAACAAATCAAACAAGACAGCGCTGTCAGAAAACAGGGGGACATGGAAGCAGCCCACTGGGGTCGACAAAAACACAGGTTTGTTTTAACACTGATGTGATGGTGATCAGTGAGGTGAGGAGACGTGAAGTGCATACACTGAGCAGTTTTGTAGCAAAAACTACTCTATGAGGCTGGTGTTAGTGATGTTGTTGGGGCAGAAAACACTCCCTCTATTCCAGTGGTTCTCAAAGCTATTCTGCAGAGCCACGTTTTACAGATATTGTTTTCACAGCTCGTGCTTTAAATGCTTCTAAAGTAAAATGTTAAAATCTTAAAATTGCTAATCTCATTAAAAACAGCAAAATAAACTTACAAATCAATGCAAAGTCCCTACTGTAGCATAATTAAAGATTATGGGGTGGCGCCCCATGACCTCATGACCCCTGGGAAGCCACCCTCCACTTTGGGAAACACTGCTCTAATTCCACTCAGTGTGTTGCATCAGATTTAAAGGGAAACAAGCAAAAAAAATGTCAAAAACTGTCTATCTGTCTATCTATATGCAATCCTATCATCCTACTCAGCTATTCAGCTAGTTAGCTACAGTAGCTAGCTACATACAGTAAGAATTTCCAGCTGCAGAATTTAATTATAGGCTAGTTCATTACCTCATAGAAACTTCTAAAGTTCCTTTTGTTGTGTATTTTTGTAAACACGACATCTAATTGTTATTTGGGTTTTAATCATTCATAAGAACACAAGGTGCAAAAACCTCTCTTAAAAAAAAGGGGTATAAAATTATTTATTTTCAAACTGCATATAATATTTACGGTATGAAAATAGAATACTACTTTTGCTTTTGACAATTTTGAGATGATGATAACTTCAGGGCCACGTTGTGTTTAAAAAGAACTAATTAAAGAAGAAGCAAAACCCCCCAGATGGATTTTTTAAATGACTTTACATATACCATTTATTTTACCAATAAATACAAATCTTTAAATTTCTTTTTCTATGTGTTAACTTGTTACAATAAAGAAAGTTCGGTTTAAGTCAGGTCTGAAGACTTCAGTCTCTGCCAGATGGTGGAGCTGAGAAATTTGCGTTATTAGCGTTAGCATTAGCGTTGCTCACTTCAAAACATTAATGTTGGTATGTGAATGAGTTAAAGGACACCATTGTAAACTGCAGTGCTAGTATGGTAATCTGCCGCTAATGCTAACGTCGTCATGCACTCATACTTGCTGGATCATTTCATCTGAATGTGATGAAAAAGGGGAAGATGGAGATAAAGGAGAAAACCGATGCAGCTATTTACCTGGGAAGCGAGAGAACAGAGAAAACCTCTTAAGAGAAAGTCGCCTTGGAGGGGGGGATGCCACTGACGGGGAGAGTGGCGGGGTGACGGCTGAGAGAGACAGGAAGTGGAGGAGTGGGGCAAAGAGACATCGGTCAACTCTCCTTTTTTTTAAATACAGCACTATGAAAACAAATTGGGTTGAGGTTTCATCTTTCTTTCAACTCCTGATTCTTCTAAACCATATGTGTCAAACTCAAGGCCTGTGGGCCAAATGTGGCCCGCCAAGTCATTTTGTGTGGCCCACAGGATCTAAAATAGTGTTGAATTGCCTTATAATAAAGTCCATGCTGCTAAGTTTCTTAACTTGAAATTTTTTGTATTATTACACAGAGCAGTGTACAATATTTGTAACTTGAATAATTAATAATCAATTTATTTATATGTAGTAGTTACAGCTACAGTTACAACCAGCCCTTCAGGGGAACTGTGTTGATGGGGCCCCCTGGTGGAAATGAGTTTGACACCCCTGCTCTAAACTGTGGTAGAGGAGAGTACTACACTGTAATATATAACTTAGTATTAAGCTTATTATTTAATATTTTTTATAATTTTTTTTAGCTCTGGATAGACAATAAATAAAGTGAAACATACAGCATTAGTTTATGTACATAAAAGCCCAGATTATTTTTGATAGGATTATTAATTCAATTAAACATAATTTCTATATTTAATGTTCAAGTGAAACACTGCCAACTGAATAAGTCATTCATCTCTCTCTGAAATTTCAGATATTTATTGCTTTGAAGGGTGACGACCGCGTTTGGCAGTTGTTATCGTATCTCAGTGTTGTGGTGAATTTTGGTCTGGCTTCACATCCTAATGAACAGCCTTATGTTTGCTGTGCAGTACGTGTAACATACATGTGACTGGAAAATCTCAGAAGCTGGCACATGACAAATCAACACTTTGTGAAATGTAAAAAAAAAGAACATTTAAATAAGGCATTTAAAGGAGCGTAAGAAAAGTGGAAGAGTAAAGTAGAGGTAGTAAAGGTGGGTGAGTTTAAATACCAAGGGTCAACCATCCAGAGTGATGGTCAGTCTACGAAAGAGGTGAAAAAAAGGGTGGAGGTAGAGTGGAACTGATGGAGACAAATGTCAGGAGGGATCTGCGACAGAAGAGCAGCAGCAAAGGTTTAGAAGACAGTAGTGAGACCTGCTGTGATGTGTGGTTTAGAGACAGTGTCTCTGTCTAATGTCTCTACCAACAGCATGTGTTCATTTCTGCTACTCCAAACTCCAGTCTCAACTCCACCCCCCCCCCCATCTCCCTCTGCCCTCACTGGTTCACAAAACATGATGTCAAAAGAAACTGACGCTGAACACAGACGTTCATTTACACGTTCACACACACACATATACAGTATATACATACATGTACATATATATATTTATAATACACATAAAAGTCACAAAAGATCTACTTGAACAAATTCACATCAAGCAGGTTAAGCAAACCTTTGATCTGTAGACAACGGATCAAAGGAAGGCACCTGGATACTCCTGTGATTGTAAACAATTTAGTGTATATACTGTATATTATTGGAGAAGGTGTAAGATCACGGAAATTAGTTACTCACTATGACCAATCAAGCAGTGTAGCAATAATGTCAAGGTCAATTTTCACCATCATAGCTGTCAGAGTAGCTTCATAACAACTGGTGCAATTAGGATTCAGTGGATCAAAGATCGGCAGTAGTTGGTGGTGGTGTGACCGTCGAGTGGAAACAAAAAATAAAATAAAGGAAGGAAGAAAAATCTACAAAAAGGAAGAATCCAAAATAACAAGCAACTGCCACGCGACACCACTACAAACCAATCAAAGTGATATGGGAAGGTGAGGATGAAAGAACAGCTAAGAAAGAGAGAACGCTGTGTGTCAACTGACGTTAATAATTCAAAATCCCACCGTCGTTAGGTCAAACAATACTATTGATACAAATGCCAACTGGCGTGAAACACCAAAGGCAAAGACATGGCTAACCACAAACTCAAGATTGTGCACGGCATGACTAATCACAAGCACAAAAACGAGAGGGATTTGTCTAATTACATGAAGAGGAGTCAAAGAAACGTAACTGACACGCTTCAGGAAAATTTTGAGGCTTTAAAAAAAACAAATGTGAATCTGCAGGAAAAGGTGAACAGTTTGGAGAAGCTCATTTTCGCCTTGGACGCACAATGTGAGATGGTGTCTACCAAGCTGGTCAAAGTGACCAAAAAGAACGAGTTTCTCACGGCTAAACTCCAGGGGGAGCGAAGCTCCAAGCTGGAGATGAGCGAACGCTTTCAGGAAGTAAACAGCACTCATCAGCAGAAACTTGACATTCTTCGACAAGAACTGGAGGTCCTGAAAGCCGTCGAGCACAAGTCCAACTTTAGTGAAGAGGACAAATATAATCCCGTGGCTGAAAGGAAGATTCCAGCGAGACATCCTACAGAAGCCCCGAGCATGGAATTTCTGTTCCTACAGGAGTTGCAGGAGCTGAAGGCACTAAATAATGACCTCAGCAGCAAACTCCAGGCTGAGACCATGAAGAACAAGTCAATGACCAAACAGGAGGAGTGTCTTAGTACTAAGCTACAGATAGAGCGTACCCTGAGACTGGAGCTGATGGATCAGTTAGCAAGGCATGAGTTGGCCCATCGACAGGAGGTGGAGGGTTTAAAACAGACCAGCAGCCTCACCAACGCTGCCTCTCAGGAGCTGGAGATAGTGAAAGCAGAAAACTCTGTGTTTCCTACCAGACTCCAGACAAAGACAGAGCTCAGCAGTAACATTCAGACTCTAAATTCAAGGCCACCCACCAGCCTGGAGATGGCGACAAAGAAAATCCCACCTCAGTCCAACCACGAATGGCTGAGCAATGAGCTGCGGAAGGGGCGGGCCGAGGTGGAATTGGAAAAAAACAACAACGATCTTCTAAAAATGCTGAAAACTCAATTAGAAAAGGAACGCATCCTACGACTGGATTTAATTCAGGGTCTTCAAAAAGCCATCGATGGTCACCAGCAGACGCTCGAGGATCACAATCACGAGCTGGGCACCCAGAAACTTGCCCTTCACAAAATGTCAAACAGACTCAAAGTCGAGGAGAACGTCGCTAAAAACCTGGAGGCTCAAAATAAACAGCTGTCCACCAACGTGACCGCAGAAATCAAAAAGAACGATTTCCTGAGAAAAGAGAACGAGTCTCTCACCAAACGGCTGGAGATGGAGCACAGCTGGAGACTGGAGCTGACGAATCAGCTGGAGAAGAATAAGGCGTCGTACGAGCAGAATCTGAAGGCTCTCAATCAGAGCAGCGCCGCCACAGAGGCTCTGCATCACGAGATCGAGGCCCTGAAAGCTGCAAACCTGGAGCTCACAGCCAAACTACAGACGGAGACGGAGCTGAGCACTGAGCTCAGAGCTCAACACGACGAGCTCTCCACCAGCCTGGAGAGGGAGATACAGAAGAACAGGGACTCCCGCACCGTGCATTTGCAGAGGGAGCAAATGTTGAGATTGGAGCTGAACGAGTCTTTACAAACAGAGAAAGGTTCTTATCAAGAAAAGATTGTGGCTCTCAACCAGGAGGTCAAGGCCCTGAAAACAGCAAAACACAAGCTCTCCAAGAGACTGAACAACGAGGGCGGGGTGACTTACAACCTGAAGGCCATGAACAAACGGCTTTCGTCCATGCTGACCATGGAGACCAACATGAATGAGTCCCTGTCCAAACAGCTACAAAAGGAACACAGCTGGAGACTGGAGCTGACGAGTCAGTTAAAGAAGCACAAGGTGGCGCACCAGCAGGAGCTGGACGCCGTCAAACAGGCCGGCGCCTTGACAGAGGCGCTCTGTCAGGAGTTGGAGGCCCTGAAAGCAGCCAAAGCCCAGACTTCAAACTCCAAACAGGAAAAAATGAAAGATGTCAGCAGTGCCCTGCAGGCCCTGAAGGACAGGCTGTCCACTGGCCTGGAGAGGAAAAACAAACACGGGGAGACCCTAACTCCAGAGTCGCTGGAGAAGAAAACCAACACTTGTCACAATCAGCAGGCAAAAGAAAATGCGACTCCGCGACAGGAGACTGTGGCGCTGGGCCAAAAACTGGACGCCCTGAAGACAGCCAAGAACAAGTTGTCAAAAAGCTTTAACTCCGACTGGGGACTTGGACACAGTGAGCACCCAGAGACAGAAGAAGCCAATCAGCAAAAGCTGGAGGCCATCTATAAGGAGTCAGAGAGGCTGATTTCAGAGGTGCTCGTACCCATCATTGAGCTGGTCGACAGGCTGGGTTTAAAAGAGATGGTTCCTTGGATGAACAAGTCCCCGGTTCCCTTTGACTGGCAAAGATCACAGGTGATCAGATGATCAGACGGAGCGTCTGTCTGTCTGTTGGTTTCACTTCCATGAGTGTGTTTTTATGTCCATGGTTTATTGGTGCAGAGCGATGGTGAAGGCACGAAGGAGTCGGAAATAAAAAAAATATATAAAAGGCCTGTCGAATTTAATGCAAATATAGGGAAAAAATAAATTGTGAAATGACATTATTTTGATGAACACATGCACACTGTATAGCCAACAATATATGTAAATATATATACATATATTTACGTATATTGGTACTGACCTCTCAGTTCAGTACATTTTTTGATCCAAAAATAAATGTGGATGCCAAAAAAATTGACTATTTTTTCACAGCAGATTTTCTCAGCATGGTACATGGGGGAAAAAAAACACCTAACCCTAATCTATTTAGGGCCTTAGTGTAGCCAACGAGTTTGTTTCAGGGTACAAACAGAATTTAGAATAAATAACTTCCTTGTTATCAACTCTTTTGCTGTCAAAAAAGTCAAATGATGATCTCTGCCTGTGACCAGTGATCCCAGTTCATTTGCATTATAACAAATAACGTCAATAAAGTTTCTTTGCGGTCTGATACGATGGGAAAAGAACGACTCAACGTAGGAGTGATGATTTGTGAATGCCGTACTCTACGACTTCACTCAGTGTTCCCCTGTATGGACCGAGTCGACTGACCGGGTCACCTCAGCGTCAGTTCAGCTCTTAGTGTCACAACTGTGTAACTGTATGGAAGCCTATGCAAAAACACACACCCTGGTGTTTTTGTCAGTTCGAATAAACCCCGGTCAGTGAAATGTCCCAGTCATGGTGCCGTCAAATGAGATTTGTGTAAAAAGCTACAGCAGTCACACAGCGTGTCGTGGTGGTTGTGTGTGTGTAATTCCCTGCTCGTGTGGTTTTATTTGAATGTATGCGAGCAGCGTTTTACCCAGTGCTGGGCTACTTAGAGCCATGACTCCGTAGTAAGAGAAAGCACCCGTTTCAAACTTCATGTTCTCATTCCCGGCTTCCACCTCCACTCGACCCTGAAAGGAAGGAGAGAGAGGAAATGAGGGGGAGAGAGAGAGGGAGAGAGAGAGAGAGAGAGGTGACTTGGGTGTGAGTTGTTGAAAAGCTTTGTTGTGCAAAACCTAGAAGTCATCTCCAGTAGCACTTTGACATCCCATGAATATTACATTCCAAGTGCAGGATCCAGTGTCTCTTCACCTCCGCCCGCCACTACCACTCCCCCCACCCCCCGGTCACCCTCTCTCTCTCTCCCTCACACACACACCAAAACCACGTTCACGTGCATATGGAGGTAGTCCTATGGTGGAACAGGAGCAGTGGTGCTCAGGTTGCTGAGTGTCTGCAGTTACTCCAGCCACACCTCAGGTGTCGACAACAAAACCTCCATGTAACTCGTTCACATTTTCAAAATAAATACAGTTTGAATTAAAGTAGCTTTAATCTTTTCCCAGTTCTTGAACTTACGTCACCAGCAGCTGCAGGAGCGTGCAGCACAAGACAGAGACGGTTCATGAACACTTTTGGTGCATAGCAAAACTGAGTCATTAGAAATAACTATTATTAGATTATTAGATTATTAGATCTTGGGTCTGTGCTGTACCTGTATTAGCGTATTTATATTAACACTTTCAAAGTGAGGAAGGTAAAAAAAACAGGTGAACACAGAGTAACCAAATTTGTCAAACTGTAGTAAATCCTGGTAATAAGTCATGAAGATAATGGATGTATCTAACCCACTACTATGAAAAGTTGGGGATATTTGGCCTTTGGGTGAAATTTCAGGAGGAACCTTAAAATTCAATATATTTCTAGTTGACCTGCATTTGTGATCTTGTCAGGTTTCAGCTACGTCACCGCGGCCTGGTCTCTGATTGCCTTGTGTAGTTTGAGTCATCGAAGACTTGGGTCAAAGTGACATCATCATGGAAACGGGACTGGGGTCAACAACAGTTCTGGTGTGTTTTGTTATGTTATACTTAAGTAGTAAAGCAAATACATATATGTATGTATATTAAAAATGTATATGTACATATATACGCATATATGCATATGTACAGTATACATTATGTATACTGTACATATGGATATACATATATGTGTATATGTACATATGCATATATGCGTATATATGTATGTATATGTACAGTATACAGTATGTATATGTACATATGTATATACATATATGTGTGTATGTACATATGCATATATGCGTATATATGTATGTATATGTACAGTATACAGTATGTATATGTACATATGTATATACATATATGTGTGTATGTACATATGCATATATGCGTATATATGTATGTATATGTACAGTATACAGTATGTATATGTACATATGTATATACATATATGTGTGTATGTACATATGCATATATGCGTATATATATGTATATGTACATAGAGTATATATATGTACATATACACATACACATGTATACACATCCGTTGCATATAGTACTCTGCCTAGAGCTCTTCTAGTCGGCCTGCTTGTCTTCTATTCCTGGTGCAAAGGCATGTTGGTCAGATTTCTCCCTCTACAGCCTGACCTGTAATCTCTGCTCCCATATGTTGGTGTGTGTGCTGCCATCTGACAGCACCAACCACCTCTGCTCATCTGCTTTCCTTCTTTTCCAAACTCCTTAACCCCTCAATCCCCCTCTGATCACCTTGACTGCTCTGTGTCTTACGTAAGAGGATCTATTGGTGAAGGTTGAGAGTGAGTGGAGGCGTCAGCGGCGCCATTGTCTGACTGACGACCTGAGCTGTTAGAGTTATTTATCCATCTACTGTATGTGTTAATGAATCAAAAGAATCCTTGGATTGGCGGTGACTGAACACTGTCAGATTGACAAACTGTTACTGAACCTAGTGGATTCCCTTATTCTTCTTTCAAATAACAACTACTAACTCCGGGGCGTCAGCTTCTTTCACAGTTTGTGTGTCCGTGGCTGCCTGTAGACTAATACTCCCTGCAGACTGAAGCCCTCAGTAACCTGGGATTGAAGCGTGTTTGTCACCAGTTCAAACCTGTTGGATCCAGACTGACTTTGCTCTGACCTTTTACTGACCAGCCCTCAGTGGTCATGTAGTGCATGTGTGTGTATAAACACATACCATATATTTCTACATAAATGTATATATATGTATGTCTATATACTGTATATATATGCATATATATAGTCAGTTTTTATATATTGAAAAGCCATTCTTTTACTTGATCAATCACATGCCAGTTTTAATTAATCACAATTAATCATGATGAAGGCAGATAAATCAACATCTGCAAACCTATGTTTAACTCAAAATTTAGCCTGGTAGAGTTAGTGGTTAGTATTATATTTTTATGGTGTCTTGAAGTTTTGAATGTTGAGTTATAACTACTTGTTAGCCGTAGACCTACTGCCCTGCGTTCAGTGTAGTCTCAAAGAATGCAGGCTGGTTTTTGAGATGGTATTTTCAGCTCCAGATGCTTCAGTGAAGCAAAAACTATTTCCCACAGTGTAATTCATATTTAAATTCATGATCAAAGTACACGGTGTGTGTGTGTATTTGCAGATTGAGTACCTGCAGAATGAGTATGAAGTAGTCGACAGGTTTGCCCCTCTGGTAGATAAAGTGCTGTGGTGAGCGCTTGTCATTTTCATTGAACTTGAGTTCCTCGATAACATCTGGGTGTCTCAGAATCCTCAGGAGAACTTTGTCTGTGATCTGGAACGGGCTGAACAGGGTCACCTCTGAGAGGAAACAAACGTTTTCATAAATGAAATCGTCACAACGATGACATTCACTATTATGAAAGAAGAAACATTCACTGTTGTTTAGTGATCTTATTAATTTCAATGACATTCAATTTGGAAAAAAAATGAAGAAAATCAATCTTGTTTATAAGTAACTTTCACAAATGTCCACAGGTGTACTAAAAATAAGGAGACAGACACAGACGGGGGACAGTCTGTAAACGATGCTTTAAAAAGATCCGTCCTGTCTCACTGTGAGATAAGCTGCTTCTCTGGACTCACCTGTGGCCAGGAAACGATGGGCGGCCAACATGAGCTGAGGAGAAATCTTCACCTTGCTGTCGCCGTCCTGCTTGAAGGCAGAAAAGTCCCGTTTGTTTTTGTTGGGATCCACCTTCTTCCTGTGTCTGTTATCAGCTGCAAGTGGAAGGAAAAGGAAGAGATGCATGAAAAATAACAGCACTGAACAAAAAACATTCACTGTAGGCAACAGCCTGCCATTATTTTAATATAGTACTCAAAAGTTGTAGTATCCTAAAAGTACTTCACAGTCCATCATAATTATTTATTTATTTTTTAAAGAATATTCCATTTTAATTTTTTTGCAAATGTTTGGGGTCAGCGATTAAAAAGACCCGATTACTGATTTGACCTTGTCACCCCAAAAGAGTGAATGATTGTTAGCAGGGTGTGTTACTGAAGAGCAATATAATACGGAAAATATCATTTTACTCTTCAGGACAGGAACTCACTGTACAGGTCGGATTCATCCAGGATCTCTGACTTAATGATCTCTTCAATGACATCCTCCAGGGTGACCAATCCCAGAACCTCGTAGAAGGGGTCGCCCTCTCCCTCGTTGTTTACTTTCTGGACAATGGCCAGGTGGGACTTACCTGGTAGAAGAGAAGAGAGAGAGGGAGAGAGAGATAGAGAGAGAGTGCATTAGAGCAGTACTTCTCAAATAGTGGGGCAGGCACCCCTGGGGGGGGGCACGGTGAGGTGCCAGTGGGGCATGAGGGGCCTCCAATGAAATATGGCTGGACATAAGTGTACCACTGCTGTAATGCATGAATGATAACAAGCCTCCAGTCACTAGGTGGCAGCAACACTACACGTAAACAGAAAACAATTGAGAACCACTGCATGAGAGAGAGATTTGAGATTTACATCAATGTAAGGTGAAATGATCATAAACCCTAATCCTGCACAGAGCGGAGCGTCATCCATGAACTAAGATCCAGACATCCGGTTTAAAATAGCTGTCACTGAAGTGTCTCAGCCTCTTAAAAGTGTTCATCCAATTAGCATGCAGAAGCAAGAAACATTACATTCAAAGGTCGTCAATGCAGCTCAGACAACACTGCTGAAAAAAAGTCACATTGTTTGTTTGAATCCTGTACTATTTTTGGCCACAGCTTTTACACTGTTCAAAGAATATTAAAGGATCTAATTATAGTAAGCGTCCAACACTGACAGTCAAACATCCTGCTCAACAAAGAGGCACCTTTGAAACTAGAGCTGCTGATAAATAATAAAAATATACTGTATGTCTTGGCTTTGATTTATTATTAATTATATCTCAGAGGCAGTGTGACAATGACAGGCTGTGTGTTGACACATCAGTGATCAGTGAACGTCTACTGGACCTAACTAGCTAGCTAACTAACTAGCTAACAAACCGACTAACGATCAGTCCAGAGGAGGAGGTGGTATGCTTGGTAAGGCCACAGACTGTAAGTAAGACACTGCAGTCCTCCATTAGAGTCACTGAGAAATAATGAGCTGTTCTAAAGACACAACAGCAAATGTAGCGTCAGATCAAATCTATTTCGCACTTCATTTTTACATCAGGAAATACATTAAATCAACACTCGGGATTTAATGTATTTTAATCCCATTTAGAGGAAAAGTCAGTAAACAACACAAAAACCAGCAGATCGTTTGTGTTTTTGGCTTCTCAGACCTGACCAGCAGGGGCATGCTTCCCTGATTAATCATGCTTATGGACACAGACTGCGTGTGTGTGTGTTTGTGTATGTGTTTTGTTTAGTTCTTCAGAACCATTAGCAGGACTAATACAGCCCCGCGTCAATCATTAGTCTGGAAAAGGATGATACATTTAGACAAATCAATACAACAAAAAGGACGCTGCAGTGACATCTGTTTGGTGCAGAGGGAGAGAGAACACAGTCCATCTTAGAACTAAACCTCCCCTCTGGACCTGGTGTTTAGTTCTGCAGAGCCACAAAGACATGGAAGACTGGACGTCCGATGGTCTTTAGTCTGATTCTGAGTGGAGGAATTCCATTATCTCCACAAAATGATACAAATTGATTTGAATAACTTATTATGTCAAGTATGAAACCAAACAGGTTCTACGTGGAACAGAACCAGAGCTCCACAGCACTGTTGTTGTAGCAGCACCAGACTAACATACGAATCCACACACCCACTGGTGACTCAATGACCAAACGTGGACTGAGACTGTATCAGTGGGTCCAATCAGTATGAGTGTATAAACCTGTGTGTGTTTGTGGCTGGTATAGCTACACTTGCGGGGACTGAGAGAGAGTATATTTTGAAGCTTGAGATTTAGTTTGGAGTTGGGATTAGAATCCGAGGTTAAGGATTAAGATTAGGTAAATAATTGGAATAGTCTAAGGGTAAGGGGCTAGGGCAGGCGTGGGTAAACCTTTTGACTCGCAGGCCACAATAGGTCCTAAAATTTGACGGGGGGGGCAGGGTCTGGAGCAGATAGATGGAGCGTTCGTGTGAATTAAGATAATGACATGTAAAAGTCGGGGATGTCTGTGTGAATAAAACAAAAACTAACTGCACCTAAAACACCGAGGTCTAAGTTAAACAAATGAGCTGACACACCTTTCTTGAACTCCTCCAACATGGCGTCCAGTTTAGTGTCGTGAAACACAAAATGCACTGGATGGTTGTAGAACTTGGTGATGGTCTTCAGAGTGGTGCAGTCGTCGGGATCCACAAACGCCAGGTCCTTCACGTAGAGGATGTCCACGATGTTGGACCTCTCGTCATCATACACCGGTATGCGTGTGTATCCGCTCTCCATGATCTCTGTCATGGTGTTGAAGTCCAGCACAGCGTCCGCCTGGATCATGAAGCAGTTGGCCAGGGGTGTCATCACGTCCTCCACTGTTTTAGTCCTGAGCTCCAGCGCCCCCTGGATCATGTTGAGCTCCTCTTTGTCCAGGTCGTTGTAGGGCTCTGTCACTTTCAGCATCTCCACCAGCTTCTCTCTGTTGTACACGGTACCGATCTCCTGACCCAGCAGGACATCCAGCAACCTACTGATGGGATAGGACAGCGGCAAAGTCAGCAACATGAAGAACTTGGTCAACACAATGGTGTTCGCACCGACAGCCAGGCCGTGGCGGGAACACAGCGCCTGCGGAACGATTTCACCAAAGATGACAATCCCAATAGTCGAGGCCACCACCGCCCCCAGACCCGATCCTATCAAGTCGTCCAGGAGGATGGTCAGGGTTGTGTTCACCAGGACGTTGCCCAGAAGGAGCGAGCACAGCAGGTAGTTGCCTTTGCTGCGGATGGGTTCTATCTTCCGTGCGTATTTCTTCTCCTTGTCCGTGCCACAGCTCTGGACGATGCGCAGCTCCATGGGATCCAGCGCCATCAGCCCCAGGTTTAAGCCGCTGAACATCCCGGAGAGCACCAGCAGGCAGGAGATGAGGATGCCCTGCAGCCACATGGGCATCAGAGGCTTCTTCTCCTCCACCACCAACAGAGTCGCGTCGCTGTCCCCCAGCTGCGTCCACCTGCCCTCTTCCGTGCTCAGCGTGCACACCACATACAGCTTGCGCGGTTCGGTCTTCCGCAGCGGTTTGACGTAAACCGACAGCAGCCCCGACGTGCCGCGGCTACTGACGTTCATGAAGGTCCCCACTGTGATGTCTTTGGTGAAATCCGCACAAGTCCTGTCCGCGGGGTCTATCGACCCGCTGCTGCTTCTTGTTCTCTCCTCCGCATCCTCCGGGAAGTCCAGACCTCCTCCGCCTCCTTCTCCTCCGCCTCCTCCTTCTGTGAGCTCCGCGAAACGGACCTGTGTCCAGGCTCCCGAGTGCAGCTGTACCCCGTAAAACCGGAGCAGCACAGAGCTCTCCTCGGTCACCTGGATGACACCGTCGTCATTGGTGCCGGCGGGCTTGTCGCTTCTCTCCAGCCGCACGCCGAGCACCTGTGTCCCGCCGCTGCCGCCGCACCTGCCGTCGGGCCCTTGTGTGGCTGTCGCCACCGTCTCTGTCCGCCCGCCGACGGCGCTCCACAGGCAGATGACGACAGTGAGAATGTAACCCTGCTGACCGTTCCATTCTGTCGCCATGTTTGTTTCTCTGCTCGGCGACCTGGGAGCTGACGTCATTTACTCATGTCCGAGCGGCTCCACCCACTCCATCAACCTGACACACACACACACAGGGCAGCGATAGGTGGAGATAATAAACAAACATCCACACCCCCTTTTCCCTCCATCACTCTCTCCCAAACCTCACTAAACTGGAGCCCCATAAACAGTGTCGCGTCATTAAACCCAGACGTTGGGCTTCATGGAGACAACTGGACCGGAGGGTTTGGGTTTGAAACTGAAAGGGTTCCAAAAAAAAACGTGTGACGTGTCTCATCAGGACCAGGCTTTTATTCCACAACAGACTCACAGACAGGTCCGGAAACAAGCAGTGTCAACACCCGAATGTTCTCGAACTGATGCAAAATATCAGACACACAGAGTCTGATGCTGTGATGACTCACTGCAGCAGCAACTGCTGCCCTGAAAGCCTTTGGGCAATGCGGCAGCACACAGTGGACGGACGTTGATTCTCTCTCTCTCCCTCTCTCTCTCTCTCTCTCTCTCCTGCCTTCAGCTGCTGCTGTTATGTAAAGGCACATGGCAACTGTACACCACCCACCCCTCCCTGCAGTGCCTCCTCTTCTCCATCCTCATCCTGCACCATCCCTGCATCCTCCTGGCACAGATCCCACTCAGGCGTGCTGCATGAAGACACACTCAGCATCTTAAACAGCAGAACCACCACCACCACCACAACAACAACAACAACAACAACAACAACAACAGGGTTATTGCCTAAATATCAGCATCAAATACAATTGCGTAATAGTAAATATAACTAATAATGACATATAAAAACACTCTGGTGCTGCAGGGAGACAACAGACAGTATGTGGTGGTGAGTCAGTGTTTTTACTGAAGGTGATTCTCATCAGTTGATTAGAAACACAGTTGATGAAACTGTGTGTGGATCAAACCTGTCCCTGACATNTGGAAACAAAAGCCTTGTTTGCATGGATGATTCCACGGTAACAGCCTTTATTACAGACAGCATTAGTCCAGTGGAGGAGCTTCCATACATTCTAGAAATAATGATCATCAAGGGTTTGTCTTCAGCAGAGCACGAGGGCGGGACAGGAAACCCTGTAGGTCACAGACAAGGTGAGTGACCATGTGACACAGTGATCATGGTGTGTTCACATGACCTTGGCTGTTGATCCATGTTCTCTGCTGCTACAGTCTGGTTTTGAACCTGACTCTAACATCCATTTCTAAATTATAGTTCAATTTAATAACGTACACGACTGAGTACACGGTGGTACTCGTACTGTAGTCACATTACATGCAGTAATATAAGTATATATAAGTATATTTTAACCTGGGTTAATATATTCAGTCCAGGACCTGAGATAGTATTTAAACAGCATTGGTACTACAGACGTAGACGAGTCACATCGACTGACAACAGAAGGAGTCAGAGTGAGTCACTTCAGTCCAGGGATGTGAAGATGTCCTCTGTCCTCTGTCTCAGCCAGGAAAAGGACAGTCTGACCAGGATGTAACCACAGAGTTAATGTTCAACCTAGGGTCGGGGGTAGATGACCAGACGTCTGTGCCCGTGTGGTCGAGGTCAAGGTCACTGCAGCCGGACAGTCCCTCGGCTGGTTGGACTTGGCGTCTGTCCGTCCAGTGGAGGAGGAAGAACCTCCACTTTGTAGCTGACTTTTTTGGACTGAAGGATGCTGTAGCTGTTGTCGAAGCACAGCACGTCTGCACAGAGAGAGAGAAAGAGAGAGAGAGAGAGTTCAGCTCTCCTCGGTCACAATCCTAAAACAATACTTTCATCTAACTGTTGACCGGTTGAAGGGTCTCTTTTAAACAGCTGTTCAGATCATTTAACTTCATAACGCTCTATGGAATGTGTCCTTCAATGTCCTCGTCATCGTAGGAAACTCCATTCATCTTCAGGACAGACTGCTGCAGTTTCAAACTGTTTTACACTTCTCCCAGTCCGTCGTTATTTATTTGAAAAATTTGATCATACACACAAATGTCCGCCAGAGGGCGGTGGTTACTAAAAAAACAACCTTTTGAATTTTTTTCGATCTAAGGCTTTCAAACGATTACATTTTTAATCTTTTTAACCACAGGTTAACTCTATTTAATTCAAGATTAATCGGGATTTAGCATGTTCGTATTTCATAGCGATTAATCCAGATTATACAACGCTCCTAAATATGAGAAAAAGAAGATGTTTCTGCATATTTCTGTAACAGGAAGACAAATGGCAGTTGTTCTCTCTCTCATTACTCATTGTGTGGTATCGCTAACGTGGAGTTATGAAAGTTCAAAGATAAATTGTAAAACTCTCTGAAAATAACAGAACAATTTGTTCACATATCCTGCATTTAAGTCTAAACTTCTTCATGTTTGAGATCATTTTGACTGATGAAAAAAATATAGATAATAAAAAAAGACTTGTTTCCATTCAACATGGTTAAAATAATGAACTATACATTAAATATTGATAAAAGGAAAAACATGTTTGTGATGATTATAATAAATTATTATTGTAAATAAAAATGAGCAGAGCAGCAGGGCTGTGAGAGACGAGTCTTGACTCTAAAATTCTAACATCTGTCTCTGAACTATTTGACTACTTGTTTTATTACTTCTGTAGATATAAATGTGGGTGTAATTCTACATCCTGTCACAGTGTGGCAGTGTGTGTCGAACACTCACACACTCCAGCCTCAGGGAGGCTGAGCCAGCTGTCCTCGGGGACCAGGTGTGCGTTGTAACGTTCACTGGGCAGCACCTGCAGCATGTCGGCCACCTTTTGACCCCCCTCTTTGGTCCGTCTGTAGACACCGAACCCAATGTCCGCTCCGTCACTGGCAAACTGACACCTGCACAAGAGAAGAAAAAGAAGAGCTTCAGCCTTAGTGTGTGTGAAAACTGTGTCCAGATCAGAGTCTGTAATTGTACAGTGCGTCTGTTGTAGCTCCTCCTCAGTCACAGACGTGTGTGGGACACTTCATTATATGCGAAGAAACATTTTTGGTTATTTTAATTATTCTTATTTTTGGACAGCAGGCATCTTTGTCCAAACTGAATGAACCACTCTCCATATTCCAGTGTTTCCCAAACTTTTTTTTCTGTCACAAACCTTCGCGACCCAAGTTGACAGACATTATTCATAAACTCCTGGAAAACATGATGCGAGACGACCCAAAAAAAAACCCTCTTGCGACCCACCTGAGGGTCGCGACCCAGTCTTTGGGAAACAATGCTATATTCTAAATATTTGAGTATAGATGTAGAATGTAATGAAATTACTTTTAAAAATGAAAATGAAAAATAATGAACTGTTTATTAGATTCAGTATTTTAATGGGTGGCTTTTTTTCTTCTTTTTTTTCTTTTTTCATTCATAACTTTATTTAACCAGTAGAAAAAACTCTGTTTTTAATAGAGTGACCAGATGTAACAACAATATGACAAGACTGTTCACTGAAAGTTCACTGATTAAATTAAGCCAACGACTGAACTGTAGTAACTTTGTAACTGATGCTAACTGTGGGTTTGAATGGTAGCTAAACTGTCACTCAGGTTTAGCTAAGTCAATCACAGCCTCTCTCCAACGTGTCGTTAATGTAAGACGACGTTGCCGGGTGGTTGATACCTCAGTTGACTCTTGGGCGCGGCAACGTCGCACTCCAACTGGTAGATGGAGCCACGGCTGATGGTCACGCTGTTGTCATACTGAACTTTCACCGACTCCTGGACGTAGTAGGACTTGGGTACTGTGCCCCCGTACCTGATCTGCAACACGGAGACCAAAGCAGTTATCCCACAGAGTCCATACTGAACTAACTGTTCAACTCCCGCTCTCCTGTGACCTCACCATTGTTCTGCAGCGAGGGTCACCGTCAGGGTCGGTCAGATTTCCTCCGTACGCCACAGGAAGCTGCTCAGGATCAATGTGCTTCAAAAGAACATCTTGCCAGTTACCTGCAAGTAGATGATTAAAGATTAGGACTAGGATTAGGATTAGGTTGTTGACCAGGTTAAGGTCAACCGGCAGGGGTTAGGGTTAGGGTCATCATGACAGCAGCTGTGGACTGTCACTGCTCTAAAACAGATGATTCTCCACAACGCTGGTCTGACATTCAACTTCAGGGTCGCAGGGTGGAGATGGTACCAATCCCAGCAGTCATGAGGTGAAGGCTGGGTCCACTGGGACAGCTCACCAGTCCATCACAGGACCACATGTAGAGACAAACAACCATTCACACCCACATTCACACCTATGGTCAGTATAGTGTGAACCATTGAACTAATCCTGCGTATTTTTGGGCTCTGTGTGGAAGCTGGAGTATTTGAACTTACACCCAGTAAGAACATGGAAACACCATATAGACAGAACAGGAGTCGAACTAACAACCACTGAGTGCCTTGCTGTTGTTGAATGTTTAAAAAAAGGAGAGGTTTTCTTACCTCCTAAGACGATGATCTTGCGTCGTGTTTCCTCACAGAGGAAGTGTTTGATCAGGCTGTAGGCCATGGGAAACATTTTGGGAGCTGCAGTGAACAATGAAGAAGCAGAAGAAGGTGAGGGATGGAGAAATGTCTGACAACGACCTCAAACCACAGGAGCTGAAATACCTTTGATTAGAAACACTCTCTTCAGCGCCTCGGGATAGTTGTCCTCAAACATGGTGAGAATCTGCAGGAGAAGAAAAGAGTGATGATGATGATGATGATGATGATGATGATGATGATGATGATGATGATGATGATGATGGGTTGGTGAACTAACCTCTCCGTACGTCTCTATTGCAGGTTTCCAGATGTGTTTGAGTCCCAGTCCTTCACAGTCATAGATCAGAGTGATGGCTTCAATGCTTTTTCCCAGCTACGTCAGACAGAAGGTCAGAAAGGTCAAAGGTGAAGGGTAAGTGTTACAGTGATGGGAACTGATGGTCAGAGATGTGAGGAAACACTGACCTTCTCCGACTGCCAACAACACTCTCGTTGCAGCATCTCAGCGTGTCGGATCTTAGTTTTCAGAAAGTCCTGTTTGGTGGCCGACAGCAGCAGACCTTTAGGATCCAGAGGACCAATCACATCGTACCAGACTGGGCTGCCCTCTCTGTCATAACCACACAGTCCTCCAGCCATGTACTTCTCAATCACCTGACGAGGACAAAAAGTGAAATTACGATCAGAACTGTGGACAATTACAGCTATAACTTTGGTTAAAGACGCAGGACAAGAGTGGACACTAGAGGGCCCCAGTCAGTCTAGATTACTACAAAAACCTGAAGGTTGTCAAGTAGACACTTAAAAGAGTCTTTGCCACATGACTGGTTTAATTGTCAGGGTTTAAAATATATTTTAAAAAATTGGGATAGCTAACATGTACAATAATTAACGTTGTCCACTAGATGTCACTAAATGACAGCAAAAGTAAAAATTAAAGCAAAAATCCAGGTTTCATATTTTAAATAAAACTGGTCCATTACTAAAGTTGAATTTAAAAACAGATACAATATTGTGAAGTATTATATTTTTATTTTTGATATTTAAAAAAAACTACAATATTTTGGAAGAGACAAAGGAAGATACCAAAAGATAACTTATTTAAAGGTATTCTATACTTCATTACTAATACTATTAACACTGATTGACATTGTGTGTATACATAGTTAGCAACAGACATATCACCTCTGGAGGCTTCCAGTCAGAGACGATGGTGTCGACTTTCATCTGCCTCCTGAACTCCACGTGCTGGAGAGCAAAGGAGTGACACATGAAATAAACACAGAAATGTAACGATGTACAGAATTAACCAGTGAAACAGGCACTTCTGTTTGATAAGAACACGTTCAATGGCAGCAGTCTTCAAGCAGAGTGAGATGATAATCCAGCATAAAAGATATTTAAATGAATCTTCTTAAACACAAACATAAATCTGGCCTATTAAATATTAAAACAAGTGTCTAGTTCAAAAAGATAATGGAGTAATAAGTAACACAAACAGTTAACATAGAGAATCCAAATACTGCATCTACGTTTATAGGTCACAAAAAAAGAATTTTTTTGTACATCTATTTTGTGAAGCTCAGGATTTATAAACATCGTCCTCACCTTTCTGATCATAACTTCAGACTTTTGAACATTGAAACTCCGAGCTGGAAAAAAAGAGAGAAAAAAAAGTGCAAAATTAAATAATAAAAACATAAACAGACTTTCGAACTAATACTGTGAGTAAAGCTGTACTTTTAAAATAGCCTTTTAGATGTTTATTTGCTTTTAAAAAGGAATTGTATTGTGATCCACCATAAAACATAAACATACTTTGGAATACTGTGAGTAAAACTATACTTTTAAAATTTTAGATGTTTATTTGCTTTTAAAAAGTAATTACATAAATATAATTTTTCTATTTTTTTAATTCCAAGAACTGTTGTTCGACCTTTGACCTCCCTGGTGAATCCAGAGTCAAACATTAAAGTCTGCTTCATTAGGACATTGAAGTCTATCGCGGCCACGTTCCCTCCCAGGTCAGTGGAGAACATCGGTTCCTGCTGCATACCTACCTCACACAGACACACCCTCAATAATCCTGTTAATCAGACCCTGGTTCATGTCACCAGTATCAGTACAGAGCTGTAACAGCTTCATTAGCATTACTCTGTAAACGGTGACAATGTCGACTGACTCTGAAGTGGATGTGGATTCAGTTCAAATTAAATTCAAATATTTAATTTTTAAATAAATGTAACTTAAAATGTATGTAAATTTACCAAATTAAATAAAAAAGAAACAGACACACAGAGGCCAAAACCTCAAAGAATAGTAAAAGGTTAAAGAGGTTGGAAGCAGCTGTAACAGGTGTCGACACCAAATACTCAGCTGGAGAATTTCTCACACACTGAAACTGACTGCAGTGTCAAAAACACAGAAACAGGTTTGTGTGTTTGTGTTTGTGTGTGTGTGTGTGTGTGTGTGTGGCATGTGAACCGATTTGAACAGGGACAGCCAATACACGGCCTTTGTTTGGTGTGTTTCAGTGGAAGACTGTTTTTTTGTTTGTTTGTTTGTGTTTTTTACCTTTGCAGGTTTCTGTTAGTCTCATTCCGATAATATCGCCCCAAAATTAGCATATTCTGTAATATCTGTAAGAATCGTTATCGGCTTTTCCTCCGATAATGAAAACGCGAAGACGCAATGCCTGGGTTTTCCCAATTGATGTGTGTCCTAAAAATAGTTTTGGACATAAACGGCTGTATATTACAGTGAAAGTCACTAGATGGCAGCATTGCAGCTCATTTAACTAATCTCATACTCATGCAGTGGTTTGTACAGATAAATAAATAAATATTACCAGGCCTATATCGGTTTTGGTTAATATAAGAATCTAGAAATTAAGTGTTTGGACAATATCAGCAAAAAGTTCATATGGGACAGTATGAGGACCATAGATACCACAGGTGGTCTGCAGGTGTGTGGGTCTCACCTCTGAGCCAGCGCAGGAGGTAGTGGTCATGCTGAGCAGGCAGGTTAGGGAGAATGTCCTGAATCTTCCCCCGAAACTAGAGGGAGACCATAAAGGCTTAACAGTGTAGCGTGGAATACAGTATGACATGAACACAAACACTGTTGGAGTCAGTTTTTCTGACGTGATGTGTTTATGAGACCCTGTTTTTTCAGCATTTATCCAATAAGTTCTGTCATAGGTTTTTGGTTAAGAGCGTTGTTTTTCACAGTGACACTGAACACATCACTTCAGTTTCACTCTAACGTGTTTAGAAAGTAACCAGTTTTTTAGAGTCCAGTAGGTTTGGGTTAATTATGTGTTAGTGATTTAGTTCACGTTTTTACGCTGCATTTGTGATTTAAACAAAACATGTTTTAATCTTTAGTGGTCCTGGTATGACAAACTGAGAGCTGGTTTATCCCAGGGTCAGGTCTGGTACAGATATAGGCTGTAACAGAGTAAACTTAGTTATATTAAGATATTAAGAAGAATGGAGAGAGAGACGAAGATCGTAATAGCATGTCATGTCATTTTCAGTAGAGGAACAATTACAGATAACAACAGCTGTGAAGTAGTATTTTTGTATGAACAGTACTTCCACAGTGAAACCTGGAGTTAAAGTGAGTCACACATCAGTCACATGAAAACAGCTACTGCTGCTGAGTGGCCCCCCCCCCCCCCCCCCACCCCCCCCCCCCCCACCCCCCCCCCCAGAGCAAATCATCGGTCATGACCTGAAGGACTGAGGATTTTCCCAGACTAGTCAACAACACAACAAACAGTTTCACTAATCAGTGCTACTCACTCCCTCTCCCTCTCAGGGTACCGATCATCGGTTTCTTACCTCTGCTAAGATCTCAGCCTGTTTGGGGCTCAGGTCACCCACTCGTCCACTCATCTCGTCTCTGTGACGGTTTCACTCTGACTGACGGCCAGACAGTGAATGATCTGATCTGGGGGCCAAGAGGAGGGAGGGAAGAAAACACCACACCCCCTTCAGACTGACCCTCCCTCCCACACACACACACACACACACACACAGACAGACTTGAACTTTGAGTTGTCAGCTCTTATTGCGACACAGACCTCATTTCACCCCAGCAATGTGCACTGCCATCCCACCCCCAAAACTTCTATCTATTTAAACCATGTACCTACAGTATAGTCCACTGCATATTCTACTTTTCTAATTTCCAAGGATACAGTCAAGTATAACCTGAGGTGCAGGTACACAGACAGTGTGGTCAGATATGGGGAAGAAAACACAAGAAAGATCCACAGAATAAGCCACTAATGTTATAAGGATACTGAATATATCAGGGGTCACAAACATATATTTTCTTTAGCAGGAAAGGACTGGCTGGAGTCAGCAGAGATCTGTCACAGAAGAAGCAGCAAAGTTGAAAAATCAAGTTGATAAGACAGTAGTGAGACCTGCTATGATGTGTGGTTCAGAGACAGTGTCTGTGTCTAACAGACCAAAGACTGAGTTGGAGGAGGAGGAGGAGGAGGAGATGAAGATGCTGAGATCTTCACTGGGTGTGACAAACACTGAAGACGTCACGTTTCATAAAACATATTTTAATTTTTTAAATATACAAGCTCATCAGAAAATTGATTAAGACCAAGATACCAGGCTCACCAAAAATAAAGCTGGTGCTCATGAATAAATAGATGATTTACACAGAGACGACACTTCAGGTACAATCAGAAACCATAGAAAGTATTTCTCACTTCCAGTAGTAGAAAGCTGTTCAATCATCATAGAAAGAAAACAATAATTCAGTTACCTCCTTAAATGTCACCACCCTGATACAGAAAATACAGAAAAGAAGCCCAGAGGAACAGCCCGACGGAGCCGAGACTATTGGCGTACATGAACAGCTGATTTTCATAGTAGACATTCACGAAATATAAGGCTGCCAACTTCCAGGGGACTAAACCCAACATTCAGATATTTTAGTATAGGCCAAAGTGGAAAAAAAAGACCATCATATCCACAACTGTGAGTGTGTGTCAGACTGGAGCTCTGCTTGGAGTTGCTAACTGGTCAGGGATCAGCTAATCACCCACAAATACCAGCCTCAATTTGTAGGTGCAGTAAATCATCTGATGAAACGACAAACGTGTCAGTATTGTAGTGAGTTCAAGGAAGTGGCGCGGTGCAAAACAGATACTTTGACACAATCAGGACAAAACTTCAGGTGAGAGACAGAATATCTAAAGGTAACAGGTTATGCTAATCTCCTGTTAGCTCCGTGATCCACAATAAGAACCTCTGCCATGTGGATCCTTTTTAGACCAAACATTACCAGCGGTTTGAGAGAGTTTTCATTTCACTGAAGCTCCTTCAGCTTAAAATACCATCTCGAATGCGAGCATGCATTTGAGGAGGCTTTGTGTGAGTTGCACGTGAGACGCCCGGCTGGTGTCAGACCAGACTCACCGAGTGCATGACAGCAGGTCTACAGCTAAATGACTTACAACTGCTACGGTCTGTGAGGAACTGTGGACTGATTAACATTGTTGAGGACAACAAACAACTTCACTGAAGGTTTGAAAGAAACTGTCGACATGATCTAGTAATGACTGAAATCTAAATTTTCAGTTATACTTTTGCATAATTCTCTTGTCATTTTTCCAACGAATAATTCCATCATTTGGAAAAGTCTCAAATAAAAATACGTGTGAAAGACATACATCTACCTGCTGTCATTTGACTCTTTATTTCATACAGAAATGTTGAAGGATATTTATATATATATATATATATATACACACATATATATACATATATACATATGTATATATATATATATATATATACATATGTATATATGTATATATATATATATATATACACACATATATATACATATATACATATGTATATATATATATATATATATATACATATATACATATGTATATATATATATATATATAAATGAAGGTATGTGTATTTATTTCAATCATGACTTCATCCACAGCTACCCTGTGATTAATCAGATTTAATATTTGTCCATCCTTAATTCCTAATCTTAGTTTTTTGTCTGACCTGTTTCTGTCCATTACACTTTTTTCTCCAAGAGGCCGTCAGGTTGGCCTGCAGGGTAAAGCCATTGTTCTACCCTGCTCCGCTATATATGTTGTGCTCCGTTCCGCCCCCTGTCCTCATCTGTTCATGAGGTCATAGTCTAATGACATCAAGGTTGGCCTCAGCTTTTCAAAATGCAGCATCACTGACAGCAGCTGTAAGGTAGAATCTTGTATTAAAAGCAAAACTAGGTCAACGCTTCATTTGTTTTTCATTTACCATTCATGTCTACACAAAGCACTTACTGCATTGCATTATGGGAATTTGGTACAGTCAGATTTATTTATAGTGTATTTTTCTTATACTGAATAAGACACTGCTACAGACACTGCTAAATTAATTCTGTCATATCAAAAATATTGTTTTACTTTATTGTTTACAGCAGCAATTCCTAATATAAGTCTTCCATATTTAAAAAAAATTGTAATAGCAGTAAATAAATAATGGTTTTTGGACCAATTAAGTAGAAATGGACGATTTTCTTTTTGGTACAACTGAAGAGCTCTAATGGTACACTAATGTGCTGTGGAACAGTGGTTAGGAATCACTGATGTGGTGATGCTATTTACCAACCAATCATCAAACTGAAGGATGGGTCAGGTCCTTGTCAACAGGAGGATTTAGGTGAGAACCCATACGTTGGTATATATTTGTGTTATTGTATAAAACACAGATTTGGAATAAAGAGATAAAAAGGCCACATGATGATGTTAAGGAGTTTGACTTAACACAAAATTTAATTCCTGGTCAAATCTTTATGCATAAGCAGCGATACAGCAGCACCTGATGACACGGAGCACTAAAAACCGCAGTCAGTCTTGACCCACATTTGAATCATATTTCATTCAGTAGCTGTGATATCAAGATGACAGACCTTTCCACAGAGCGTCGGCGGAAAATGTGTCGACTGAGATGGTGTGAGCTGACGGGGATCAGCGAGGAGCCTGGGAGCCAGAGCTTAGGAAAATGGTTTGGTTGCATTTACTATATCCGTGTCCATTGTTTAGTGTTTGGCTTCTTGTATTAAAGCAGCTTTGGTGAAGATGGAACACACAGACATCCACCACTTTCCCAACATAAAACCTGGACTTGGTCAGTTTACATCCCTCTAAGACACCACAGCCCCAGGGTTTGGCGTGAGAACGTACTGCTGGAGGATTAGCCATTAGCCACTGTCGCAGCAGCACGTCCTGCTACGGCCGTCAGCCTCGTATCCTGTTTCTGTTCACCATCATGTATGTGACAAATGTGTGTAACGTGCCTCAGATGGCGCTTGTGATGTAGAAGGTGAACTCCATGTCCAGGGCCGTCTGTGGAACGCTGGCACCGCCGCCATGGATGACTGGGATCAAAGCGCTGTCCAGCTCGTTCATGTAGTGCTGAGGAAGAAGCCTGCCACCGGAACAGGCCTGGTACTCCACCTGAGAACACACACACACACACACACACACAGTCATAATCAAGGGCTCTCAAAAGAAACCTCTTAATTGCATTTATTTATTTGTGAAATTCATTTGAACCCATGGGCAGTAATAATCAAAATCCACCAACTCTACTAAACTACATTTTGAGTTACAGTTTTACTTTTGTTTTTGTAAAAAAAATGTTTTTTTCCACATATAAATAATTCCACAATGAAAACAGAGGTGAAACACTGTTATTGATCTAAAACAGTTCTTTTTCATATTTAAGAATGTGATTAATCCACAGTTACCCTGTGATTAATCAGAGTAAAAATTGAAATTGTCCGACAGTCCTGAAAATGATACAACTCATGGTGAAGTGAAGCAATCCTCTTCTAACACACAAGGTTTATCAGCTCAGAGTTAGTTTGAAGCTTTTTATGCCGTTTTAACTCCTAGCAGGACTGATGACAGAAATACTTCATTACTAAAAAAGCATCAAAGTTGATGGGGATCAGTGGAGTCTCTGAGGCAGGTTCTGGACCATTTCATTTAAACAGCACCACACATGCATTAAACACAACGTCCTGTACCATGTCAGCCTCCGTGGAGACCCTCAGAGAGATGCAGTTGATTCCACTGTTGGTGAGGACAGCCAGGTGTGGGCTCAGAGCACTGCAGGTGGCCACAGCCATCTCTTTCTGAAACACACTGCTGGATGACAGCACCGAAGCCAGGCTGCAGTCAGGACTCTTCGGTTCGTAGAAGACCTGGAGAGACAACCAGCCTGAGTTACAGCCAACACCTCCAGGGTGGCATAAACGGAGTTACTTTGAAAGCTGCCGTGCTTTACTTTGTAGTAGGTAAGTGTGAATAAGAGTTACTTTGAAAGCTGCCGTGCTGCTGAATCATTCTACCTTTTACTTTGTAGTAGGTAAGTGTGAATAAACCAAAAGAGAAAAGTAAAAGGTTTACCTCTGTGCACGCGATGGTTCGTCCATCCGACTCAAAGTCTGCGTCCTGCTTTATCCTCACACTGTGGACTCCATCCAGGGGTCTCCCATCAACCCCACTGGTTTTGCTGTTGGCCATAAGTACAGTTCTAAAGGTTTACACTTAAGGAGGTGAGTCCCTGTATGTAGTAGTTTATTCTAACATACTGACTAAGTGTCGTCTACTCAGCTGTGGTTGTTTGTTCAACTGAGCATGTCTCAATAGTTATTAATAAAAAGTCATTAATAAGCAAATATTTTATTTTGCTTTTTTCTTCTCTAACAATTACTAATGTAGCTCCCTGACATCAAGCATGTATTACAATGCTGACAGTTTTCCTACAATTAGTGTTAAAAAAAAAATCAATCAATCATCGTGTCTGTAGTAACACAGCACATCACAACACATCGAATAGTTGCCCCGAATCATGATACGTATCGCACTGCCAATGCACACAATACTAACAATCATCAACAACATGACTACACACATATATTCACAACACATATATTTTCACATAGGGGAAAAACAATGTCTATAATTCCTGTCTTTCAAGCTCAAATGTTTACATCTCCCTGGAGGTTTATTCTAATCCAAAACATTCCAGGACACGTTTGTTAAGGACAACAATTTTTTGGCCAATGTTAATTTTAAAAAAGCTGCGTCTGACATTATTAGAAGAGTGAGTGAGTGTACGCCGTTACCCTGTGTTGACAGGCGAACTACAGTCAACCCAGCGGACAGTGACATTTTCTCTGATCTCCCCTCCATCGTTCCTGCCACAGGCAATATGAAAGTCGGTCTGCTCCCTCAGAGCGGAGCGCAGAGACTCCATGGTCTCCGGGGGGATTTGAATCATCATCCCATCTAAAGCACACAGAGAGATTCTACTGATTATTAAATGCTGGGTGAGACAGTGCTGTGGCTGTGATAGGCTGAACCAGCATCAGCATCAACAGTGTCACACACCTTCAACAATGCTGGACTTCGCGATGAAGCCTGATGAAGCCTTCAGCGCACCATTGAACACCACGAAACTCGCCCCAGTCACTGCAACATAACAAGACGTCTGCTGAGGTAACAGTCCACTCTACGTCATGTACAATGTCTTCAAACATATTAAAGTTGTTCTGTTTCCCTGCATTTGTATAAAGGTGCCAAATAAGATGGATTAAATGTGACGTAATTCAAATGCAATTTTTTTGCAAGATCTGGCAAATGACTTTTTTTAGTGACATTTATTTTAGTTACATAGTAAGAATCCATATCATATCAGTTTGACTTTATTTAGAGAGGAGGAACGCGTCTTTTGGCTTAATGTTTAAACTCAAATTTGTTGTGTTGAAACAGCAAAGCATTTCAAAGAAACTTGTATTTACTTATGTCTAAAGGCCGGTGGTCAATCCACTCAGACTTTAAACAACAAACTGACCCTTCAGCCTTGGGGAGCATTAAACTGTGTCAAACCCCTTTGCAGACCCAGGATGAACTTTGGAAAATAGAACAATGAAATTAAACATTAAACAGTTTCCAATCTTAGACATATGTGTGCATTTGTAGGATTTTTTTACTTAGGAAAAGCCCTTTATAACTATATATAAATATATTAATAACTTTCTCTTTTATAGAAATAACTGTTTTAATCGGCTCAGTTGCATTAGTGTCTTGTCACTGATGTGTTAACATAAGGCATTTCAATTTTCACCAACACTTATTACAGCATTTTCCAAACTATACTAAAAAGGGACAAACTTTACTCTAAAGGGACTTTTGTATCAAAAATCCAGGATAAGATCCAGGTCTTTTTTCAAGTCCTGCAAGCGTGAAATGTCATGTTCAACTAAACAGGCACGCTGAATAAGAAAACAATTGCCAGCATATGATACATTTTTTTGATAGATGCAATTATAAAATATGACTCACCTGTGCGGGTTTTTCCTGGCATGCTGTTTGCCTGGGTTTGGTAGTTGCCGTCCTCATTCTGGACACACACCAGGTGAGAGTCGGCATCTAAGCTAAAAGTGGCTCCTATACTGATGACATGCTCGTTGGATGTATTGATCACCTTCTGCATCTGAAAGTCAGCATTTAGAATTCAAATGTCAGTTTTAACGCTACATCTTTGTACAGGAGTTTAGGCCTGTGCAGATGTATTTGATGTTGGACATTCTGAAAATACGTAGGAGAGCCTAAAATCTTTAGATAATTTCAATTTGTAAAACACTCCTTTAAAAAGGACACCTTTGGCAAAATTAGAGTTTATTTACATAATACAACTTTAGGAGCAGTTAGTTTGTTACTGCGAGAACTTTGTTAAAGAACTAAAACAGTTTATGCAGTTGGTTAGTTCTGCTAATTTGAAACAGGAGGCCATATTGTTGTTGCTGTTGTTCTCTGTCTGTTCCATGTTGTCCCCATGTGTGCGCTGGTGCTAAAACGTTTATCCCCATGATAAAACTTGATAATTACAATTGTGTCTTTAAGACCGTCGTACCTCGTTGAAGCTTCTTTTAGGAATGTTGATGTAACTGTGGCCCATCTCCATGTGGATCTGCAGGCCCTCCACCACCGACAGACTGTACTGGTAGTTCCTCAAGTCCTGGAGACAGAGCATGGAAAAGTTAACAACACTGAAATGTGCCGTCCATGTGTCCGTGTGTGCGTTTTGGTACTTACAGCCAGTAAATTCATAATTGTGTGTCCTGTCTCTCGATACACTGATTCTCGAAATCGAACACTGATCAGTGGAGTTGGATACACTGGGTGAAAAAGGTATCAAGTTGCAGTGGATTATGAGTGAATTTTTAAAAAACAACATGAATTAATAACATTGTAATAACCCTTATTAGCTCCAAAATAAGTGAGAAGTATGATAAGACTTTTTTGGTATAAATGGAAAATAACATTATTAAATATGTCTATAACTAGTCAGCAGATCATGTAATATGGTATATTGTCTATAAGTCAGCAGATCATGTAATATGGTATATAATAATTATTAAAAATCAATTAAGTTGTTTACTTGTCAGACTAAAATAGTATTTCTTGGTATAAACACATAAATGAGAATAAACACGCAGTTAAGTTAATTTAAATAAAACAAAAGAAACATTCAATTGTTTTAAGATCACAAAGGTCGGGCATATCAATGATGGAACTCCTCATTCAAAGTTAGTTGAAATTAGAATAGGAGTAAACTCTTTAAACATTTAGATTTGTATGTAAAAGCAAAGAAAATCGACTAAGTTAATACACACCACTGTATTTAGCACCAAGCCGCAAGAGCAGCCTGAGAGGAAAGACTTTGGCCCAGGGCACCTCCAGTTTCTGAATGAGCAGACCAAACAAAAAAGGCCGAGGGGGCAGGGTGAGGCCATCTAGTGGCTGAAAGGTGTGAGAGAAGAAGAGCATCCCAGCATGATCCTTGCTGCCCAGGAAGCTGCTCGTGAAAGTCACATTATTCATCTCCTCCACAAATTTGCCTGCAACAGAAAGTAAACAGCACTGTAGTCCTAATGTTTCCATGTTACGAGCGCTGTCATTAAAAGTGCTGCCTATTTACCTTTTTGGGCATCTTGGTAAATTGTGAGATAGAGTGTAAAAAGGTCTTTGGGCAGAGATTTCTCCTCTGGCAAACACTCCAACAAAAACACCAGCTCTCTCTGTCCGAGGGCTTGCAGACCATTTGAACCAAAACACCAGCACTGACGACCCAAGTCTGACAGATGGAAGAAATGGAATAAAATGAGAACAATAATTGTTTAACTGTACAGGATTCTCATTTCAGACAAATCACAAAAATCCTTATTTGTGAATGGCTCATATATCTGACTCACATGTTACCAATTTTACATTAACCAGCAGGTTGGCATTGAGAACAAATGCCAGGGGCCGTGGTCCTCCTTCCTCTAACAGGTGCAGAATCTGGCACAGGGCAGGATTGTCCTCTATCAAGACATCTACAGGGAAAACAAAAGACCAGAAGGTACATGGGAGATTAAGGTAACAATTATTTTTTTCAATTATTTGAAGAAGAATTGGACAATTAAAAATAATCAGTGCATAATGTGTATTTTTTAGTAGAAACGTTTTATCACAAATAAAGTGTAGACATTGCCCTCTTGTGGCCATAGATGGTATGGGGTATATTTTGATCATAAATCTTTGGACAAAGTAAAAAAAAAAAGACTTATTTTCAGTGACTAATATTAGCACTTTTCTTTACATCAACAAATCACACACACACAAACCTCCTTCATTGTCCTCTCCTGTGGTAAAGAGCAGAGGTGGGAGCTCATCGTTGTCTGGTAACAGACTGGGCAACCTCTTCACCAAAGAACCCATCCCTGAAAGTAGGCCATAATCCCAGGGACCAGACACACGAGGCCGAACGACCTCTACTGTTCCAGATGTTTCAGTGAAGGAGGAAGATGAAGATGAGCCACTGACCCCCTCCTCTGACCCTGCTGGGCTGGACTGAAAGGAGATTAAGGTTAATGTCAGTAACGTCACATTTAACTGAAATGGATTCATTCACTTTTCTAATAAGTGATGTATGTAAAAACCCTAGTGTTAAAATGCCCTTCAATTAATTTCCCAAATTAATTATCTCTGATAAAGCAGTACTTCTGAACATACACGCATGCACTTGTGTGCACACATACATATATAAATACATACATTTATATTTGACTTAATTTTTCTGAGTCATCACATCTGTTCAGTTGTGGCATTTGGATAAATAACACTACAGCAGACATATGACTCTGTGATCACAATGAAATGTGATGCAAAGAATCATTTTTCATTTACGTTTGACATGAAACTTGAACAGGCAGCAACTATAAATCAAGCACCTAACCTCTAGGAAATTTACATCATAAACAAAATCGTTTTTTTATGTGTGACCATGTCTCCTGTTCTTATTCCTTCTATTATTTATATCACACAGCTACTTATCATGTTATACCAAATTCTATTGGAGCAACAGCCAAAAAGATTTTATAAAATTCAGCAAATCATCACTTGAACGGTGAGATTCAGGCTTAAACTGGGTGGAGTGAGAATCTACTGTTAGCCTGTAGTTCAGCTGTGGGGCTGATACACAGTCCTTACTGTAGTTTGGTCTGACATGCCACCACTGAACTCCTGGGAACTCCTGCGGCTGGTCACCGACAGCTTGGTCGTGTCTGCCACCTCTCCATTTGGTAAGATGCCATCGGCAAACCAGACCCGCTTCTGCTCACGAGGGCAACCTGAGAAAACACAAGAGAGAGAAAAGATACATGTTGTTGTTGTTGTTGTTTTCCAGCCGTAGGGATTCTGTCTACAGTGAAACAACAATAAGTTCAGTGTCAGGTAAAATATAAAGTGACCATACTGTCATTGTTTGGGTGTTTGAGGACAGACACAGGAACCATGACGGTTGGAGGAGGTGAGTTTAAAGTGCCGGCAGCACGTGCCTGCTGCAGAGGGGGGATGGTGCTGCAGTACTCTGATGGAATGTTGGGGTTTGGACTAGGACCTGTGGGACTCATCATCCGCTCCAATGCCTGGGCTATAAAAAGTTAGAAGAGAATATTAATCATGTTGTCTGATACGCTCCTAAACAACTTCTCTCTCTCTCGAAAAACATGCATACACGCACACACAAACAGTAGCAGCATTTCAAGATACGATATATATGAAACCAAAAGTGACCTGAATCAACGAACGCACCAAAATATCAGTATCTCACCCAGGTATCAAATTGGCATGAATGTCACCTTTCCCACAATTTAGATGCAGATGAAAATTATTGAAGCGGTCACAGTTATTTATATACACACACACAAACGGACACATGGATTCACTCAATATTGTGATTTACTGCAATGTTTTCTGGCTGTAAAGATTTTCAGGTGATTCGATTTGAAGATCTATAACAATAGGCAGTACTTGTGGGTCACCCTCTGGTTCATGTTCCCTGAAAAGTACAGACAATTTGTGTTTTCTGGCCTTAGCACCCATTTGAACTACACATGTTGTGTTCCACTAGAAACAGAAATCTTAAAGTCCAACAACATGAGTCCAGATCTACACAGTGAGCATGTTGTCATGCCTGTCTTAGAGAGTCGTGAAGAAAACTTTTGCTGTTCGACCAAACTGCATACCATGTTAATGGAAAGACACGGTGCTGCTAAACATTTGATAGAAAGGCACCAGGAAGCACAAGTGTGAATGGAGCAAACAACTGTGTAGCACTCTCAGTCTGCAGAGTCCAGGGAGAGACCAAGTCCAAATCTAATCTGTGATGTTGACTTTCTTGGATTATCCAGAACAGCAAACATTTACACCTTTGTGGATTTGACCCTATTACACTAGGAAAATAATACACAATTTCAAGATTTCCCCTTCTCTGTAAAGAAGCATAAACAGTTATTGAAAAAATATTTAAGGGTTGATGGAAGATACTGATGATATCAATCAGTATCTTACAGCTTTCTATTTAAAGCAAATGTCAACAACAATGCACTGGTCTACATTATATTGATTATGCCAAGATCTCCATGGACCTGGAGTGTGTACTGATAAGATACTGTGTGATTTACTGAAGTAAAAACCATCAAATTACACAAACCACTGATATACAGCAAGTATTTGCGGGTTTGTTTACATTGAACACATGCCTGGTCTGCACAGGGATGACGAGGCACAGAAGCCTTTTAGGTCGAGAGACAAACTGCTCCAAGTGAAACTATTTTTAAAGTAGTGACGTCAGTGTACACACAGCATTAACAGGCACAAAGAACATGATGAAATTAGGTCAAATTGGTCATTAGCATGTACTGTATGTAGGTAAACAAATATGCAGCAGCAGGACATATTGCAGCAACAACACTTCAGGGAACCAGAAAGTTTTGTCTTACCTCATTCTTATCCTCCCCTCCAAAAAACCTCAACCAATTCAAATCAAATCGTTGATTGTCTATTCCTCCATCTGTCTTCCCTCACTTGCATCCTGGCTCCTCCTGGAGCTGCAACACTCTAGATCTGTATTAGCCTGTTAGCTGTGGGCTGCAATGTGCGTGGCAAGCTTCACGTGCAGCTCAGCCCATAGAGAGGAAAGAGAAGAGAGGGTAGGAAGAAAGGAAAGGAGGAGACAGGAGGACAGCGTCGCACGGCTACACCGTCTGCCAGCCACTAAAGTAGATCCACCCTGCTTCTCTTAATTTAGACCTGGTGTTAGCATCACATGTCTGCTGCGTTAAGTAGGTCCTGACACATAAACATAAAATCAAGGACAAATGCCAGCATCCTGCTATAACTCTCCTCCCCTCTCTTCTGCCGTCTCACTCCATCTGCCCCCTCCCATCTGTCAGTTCACATTGGTGCTGCAGTGTTTAACTGTGAAAGGTGCTTCTGAATTTACTGCTGTTTACAACGGAGACAGGAACAAATCCTGAGAAATACACCTGGAGGAATTTGAATATTTTAAACAAACCGACTGTGCTGGTTTTAAATCAGTGACCAGTGTTAGGGGACACGGTATAAATATCAGTGCTGTGCCAGCTAACCTGTTTCTATCATGTGTTTGCTTGAATAACAACTCTGACTATTATTTAATCTGTTGCTCATAGGCTCTAAAAATAAACAAGAACCTCTGGACACAGGGGGGTAGTAATGTTAACTGGCCTGGCTTTATAAAAAAAAAAGACATTAGTAGTAATTAATGTATTAACGAGAAAATGAATTTGACTAAAAAAACGGTGTTAAAACGATCAGCCCTAGTTAGTAAATTATCAATCTATCTGTGTCTCTTCATGTATAAAGTAGTATAAGGACAGCTACAACTTGTAGACAGGACATTTATGTGTCTGTTTGATTGTAGCTGTGTTTGTGGAATACTTACCTAACACAACAATGAACAATGAACGAGATTCTTTACAGTGATAAACACCAGTTTGTAACGGAACACAAACCAGAAAACAACACAGAACACCAGGAAGAACGACATAGCTATGAATTTCCTACAATCTAAGAAACCCTATAATGAAACAAATACAATTATAAAGAATCACATTTATTGTTAGTGTACATACATTATATACAGACACATATATACACAATGAAGTGTCTCCTCTGTCTTTAACCCAGTGTCCAATGTATGTTAGTCAAACTTTAACACATACATTGGTATAAATATGGATATCTTATCAAGGCTAACAGAAAAAGCTATGCTACAGGTGAGGCCCCTCTCAGACCCAACTGGACTCTTACCTTTGTGTATGGTATCAAAGCACAGCACACACACACGAGCTTCTTTCTCCAGGTACTTCAGCTTACACTTCCTGCTACAGCAGACGGCGCAGAAAACCTGCCAAAAGTGTAGAAAAAAAAAAACAAGAATTAAAAAAAAGAGACTAACAATAAAAAAGACCAGGTAAAACACTACATTATTTCAGGCTTGTCTTTGTCTTAGCTCCAACTTTTGGACGCACAGCTCAGCAAGGTCGTAACAGAAGCTGAAAAATAGAAATGCTGACTCGGCCGCTTTGTATCTGTGAATTCAGAAAGTTAAATTTGCCAGTGTGTTCTTTTGCTTTGCTTAAAATACCTCTAAGCTGTAGTCCCAAATTTCACTGGGCATATTGTAATTCAAACCAAAAATGTGGTTATGTGAGAGAACGGTGTTAAAAACTATGACACTGCTTTATACATGTTCATATCTAAACGAGTTGATTCTTCCAACTGTAATGTGTAAGGTTAATTTATGTATTTATTTTTATTTATTAAACTGACTTTGGGCTGCACTTTGGTAATGTGCCTAGTATTCAAACCAGCAGCCTTCTCATTACAAACCTAAACCTTTAACCTCTAGGATTGATGTCCTCAGCTGATCTAGTAGCAGAACCCACCCTCCCCCAGGTAATGATAAGCTACGACTAGAGCTGAATTTTTTTTCTGTTACATAATTCAGGGTTTCCCTTGGATCATTACAGTAAATTAGAATCCTTTTTTCCCCCAGAGGCAAACCCTTTAACAGAACCCCCCAACAGAAGAAAATCTATATTACATACAGTCTGTGTACCTGCATTTCACCATGTTCAATTAGCATAATGCAGATAGAGTTTGTGGGTTTTCTTCTGTGACGTAGTTCATTAACATCAGCGTTCTAACCCCATAATTACTGAATAACCTTCAGAGTTTCCACTTGCATTAAGCAGTGGTTTCAGAGTGAGGACAGACAATAATACTGTCTGTTAGTACTACTGTACTCCATCCATCCATCCATCCATTTTCATCCGCTTATCCGTTACCGGGTCGCGGGGGCAGCAGTCGCCACCCAGATCACATTGCACCGTACCAACCCCCCAAACCTTCCTGCGGGTGGTGAGTCCACTGGAATACTACTGTACTCTGGGTAATAAACATCCAAAAGTGCCTTAACCCACTGGGTGGCGCTGGATTCATCAATATACAACGCTGAGGTTGGTACAGCCCATCATTTTCAGAAAGTGTGCTGTCTGCCACGGTCAGCATTTTTCTCACCAATAAAAGGTCTGTGGCAAACATAATGAATGACCTGTACAGGATCCTGTTTTTAAGGGTATTACTGCGAGTCATGATGTCGTGTTTACAGTATATAAAGTGCATGTCTTAACAGCAGAGAGTCATTATTTCCAAAATTACTTCAACAGAGGTAAGATATCAGATGTGATTTCTACAGTGGGTACTGTCATTACTTTATTTTCAAAATATCATCTGTATACGTTACTTGTCCTACACTAAGTTATGGGAGAATACACTGTTGAAGTAACCCGCCCAGTACTTGTCGTCATAGTACACACCTGGAGGAAACATAACAGTTTAATGTAGCCTGTGTGTCTGGCATACATATAGATATTTTAGTGCAAACACTGGACTTACTGCTGGTGAGGATTTTTTACTACCCTTGTATGTGCTGCGGTGAAAGTTTATCTGACAAATACATATATTTTTGATCATAATGCAAAAATCATGAATTACAAATGACCTCATGTTGATGTTTGACAGCCATATTTGTCTAAAGCAGAGAAAGATTTTGGATTTATAAAGTTCTGTAAAGACAGACCAAGTTTTAATGTTACCAGCTCAGGGACTTACCTTTCCACAGGCTCGGCAGTGATGCCTCCTCTTAGTAAACGTGAACCTCTGGTAGCATTTCATGCAATTGGGGGCCTGGGCATCAGGCACCCATTCTGGCTGCCTGCACCCCAGCTCCTCCATCTCCTCTTTCTTCCAATTCACTGACCTAGCGCCCTCACTGGGTGGCTCTCCGTGGTACGGTGGGGGCTCTGAGAGTTCATCATATCCTACGCCGTAATCCTGTTGCTCCTGAGTGACATAAATAAGGTTTGCATCTCTAATTTTGGAATCCTCTTCTGTGAGACTAACACTCATGGGTGGACTTTCTTCATCCTCTGCTGCATTTGGCCATTTTGAAAGCGTTTGCTCTCTGTCTTCTTCTTCCCCTGCTGGTGGAGATCTTGCAGTTTGGCAGTGTAGCTGTTTTGGTCTTGCACCTCCAAAGGAGGGCTGCTGATCAGGATTATTAGTTTGCTGGGATGGAAAAGTGTGGCTGGTCAAAGAATGTCTTGCACCAAAGTTCTCTGGTTCTTGAAAAGTACTGCAATACTCTTGTGGTTGTGATGGAGCACCAGGGTCAACACATGCTTCCGAAGACACAAACATTCTTCTGTCACTTTCTGGAAAAGCCAGACCTTCAAGCTCTTCCTGTTGATCCCCACCACAGTTTCTTTGTTCCTCATCCCAGACCACGCCCTCTGGATTTCTATTTGGTTCAATCACATTTTCTGGACGAGAACACGCTCCAGGATTGCTGCAAAAAGAGACATTTCTGGCCTGCTCAGCTTCAGTGTGAGCTTGCAGGAACGCATCCAACTCCTCATCTGTCACTAAAAGCTCAGCCTGGTCGCTCTCAGGTAAGTACTCGAATCCAAACTCAGATGGCTCTGTTTCTGAGTGATCAGAAGAATTAGGGTCTGGAGATAGGGCAACAACAGCAGCAGTGGCTTCAACAGAGACATGTTGCCCCTCTGGTGACAGTCTGCCATCTGTGCTCTGCTGACACACAGGCCCTGCTGGGTAAACAGGCTGCTCAGAGCAGGACCTGCCCTGTCGAGCCCCCAGTGCTGAAAAGGAGTCTGCCTCGGTGCTTTCAGACACATTCTCCTCATCACTCTGCTCTGAAGCTTGCCTTGGCTCTTCTTCTCCAGTCGTTGACTGCCCCAGAGCTCCACATATGGACGCAGCTAGTGGTAGACACGATAAACTGGCTGGTTTGTCAGAGGTAGCAGACTCTGGCTGTACAGAAGACACTATCTCTGCCTTATCTGGAGTGTCTTCTTGTCTTGTGTCTTCTTTACCCCCCCATGCACATGTGCTGCCCTCTTCTTCTATAGACCCTTCCTCTGGTCTGTCTGATGAAGCCTCCTTTTCACAGTCCTTGTTCTCTACTTCTTCTAAACCACCGGTCATCGGTAGCAGGGAGTCGACAGCTGATTCACCGTCCGTCTCTGCCGCTGCTGGAAGAATTACATCCAGAAGGCTGAGCGAGGCAGAGTAAGCACCACCTTGCTCATCGAAACCCAGACTGAGCAGATCATTTTTCCCTGAAGCAAGTTCCTTTTTAGATAGGTCTTCACAGCCACCACTACAATTAAGACAAGCTTGGTCCTCCATCACCACAGGGCTCTCAAAGTCAACAAGCAGGCCTTCATCCAACTCCTGCTCCTCCTCCATCTGCTTTTCAACCACATCCAATTCACTGAAGGCATCATGACTGTTGGCCCTGACCAGGACGGCAGAGCCTGTGTCATTCACAAGATCACAAACTGGCTTTGGTGCTTGGTCGGGGCAGGGAAGGGCAGAGGTTTTAGCTGGTCTGTGATCTACAGAAGAGAGAAGATCTACTCCAGTAAGAGGCTGACCTTTAGTCTCTCCATCATTGTTGCTGCAGGGGTGACTCAGGGGGGGTTCGGGACAACTGGTGGAAGCACCATAGTGAAGAGAATTGAGGTCAGGAAGGCTTGGTGGGAGGGTGGATTCCTTTGAAGATAAACACTGTTGTGGAGGGGGCTTCAGGAAAACAGGTCTGCAGTCAAGTTCTTCTGTAAACAATAAAAAGAAAAGAGGTTATAAAAGGTATCAACATATATCATGCAGAGCTCACTATTAATCCTATATTCAGTGGCATAAATTTAAGTCTAATTTAACAAAAAAAAATAATGACATGTAAAATCAAAAAAAAAAAAAAGAAAGTAACAGAATTTACACAGCCATATTTGGTTTACCTGTATTCAGCTCAAAGTCATCGAGGAGTTTGTCCAAATCACACACAGCTGCCTTGAAGTAGCTATCCATGCTGTACTGGAACAGTGGCCTTTACAACCCATCCAATCCTAAAAAGACAAAAAGGAAGAAAACCCATGATCACCAGACTTTGTTGTTTACTCTCATGGAACGCAGCAGAATACCTCAAGATTTTAACACAAATGAGTGTTGTTCTTTCTTAAAATGTTGCTATTGTACTAAGTGCAATTTAAAGGTTCCCATGTGTCCAGAAAAACAACATCTATAATCATTTAGTTTTGTTTTTAAATAAGAGTCATGAAGAGTAAAGTCTAACTTGGTTACTGATTCATTCAACAGATCTAATCATTTTGAATACTAACTTTTAGTGCACTGGAAAGTCCTTCTACATAATAGAACAATTTTAATCCCTTCTGACTCAAAAGAATGGCATCTAATTTAGGTTGTCACTGTGGCACTCTGCAGTTAAACATTCAGACAAATCATCCATAGGGAAAAAAGACGTTCAATTGCAGGTATTTAAAGCAATGGATCATATATCAAAATGTTCACATTTGTATCAAAAATGTGTGATAGGTTTATGTGATTCAAAACCAAGCACTCTCAATATATTTAGGACAATCTCAACTTGGTACAAAAAGATAACCAAACTATAACAGCAAGAGCCACACTGCATCATGTGATTACTTCACCTTGACTGTTAACACATTCATTCCTTGGCTAAATGTCAGCATTAGATGACTTAAATAGTACAAAATTAGTCAGCATTAGATGACTTAAATAGTACAGAGAGGGCAAAAAACAGCATAAAAAAGAAGGGTCTGGTGAACATTATTTTTCCTTTCTAATTTAAATCATACACACACCTACTTTATTATCTAACATTGATATTAAAACATGAATAATTTCTCCCCCTTGTGAATCTTGAAGAACACCACCTGAGGCAAATAACGTGGCTTTCCTTCTCCAAATTGCATAACACTTTCTGTCTTGTTTAATACAGCCTGCAGCTATTTTGCTAAGCTAGCTGTAACAGATTAAACAATTGTTGTTTGTTAGAGTAACTATTAACACTAGAATATGTCAGTCTGGTGGTTATTTCTGTGTAAACACGTCCTGTGTTTTGCTGTGACAAACAACAATTGGTATAAGGTAGTTAAGATTTTATACTAATGTGGTTTTATTAGTACTATAAATGTAAACAAAAAATTATTTTTTTTCTAAGTTGAAAAAAAAATTACAAATGCTTTCCATTTGTAATTTTTTTTCAACTTAGAAATTCCCCTTGACCTCAACAAGGAGGAAGTACTGGAGACATTCAGACTGAAATCACATGTTTGTTGTGGTAGATTCATTACAGTCATAAAACCCGACAGGTCACATATCAACTGGGTCAATGTAGGGATGAATAATCTCAAAATCGTTCCTTGTTCCCATCTCACCTACACAAAGGAGTGTCAGCGATATACTGCAAAAAAAATCCAACAGTGTTTACTGTTGACATTTTCTTCAGGGTCAAATCACAATGCGTCTCCGTATCTTAAATGCTGGCGTTAGTATTAACTACTGCAACTACGTCCAAGTCACAGATTACTGTACTCCGTAGTGAACGTACGTGAAAACAGTCAATAAAGACAAACAAAGAAACATTTTATATACGTGAACGCTACACGAAAAACTTCACAACGAAAAACAGAGCTGAACATACGGTTATGTTGTGAAGCAAACTTTGGCCCACAACTTTTTCAAGAAGTGGTACATAAGCTAACTTACCTGCATTATCCATCAGGGAGCTATACGCAGCTGCCGATGATAGCAAACAACAACAGGGACCGTCATTTCGTCCTCGAAAAACACGCTTTTTCGAGATTCTGAGGACACTGTAGACTTCAGTAGTTATTCTGGTTTTCCTGCACGAGGGGCTAGTACCGTTAAAATCCTGTTAGCTGTGACTGTAGGACAATGGCAGCTTGTAGTTTGCAGTGGGTTAACCCGGTCTGTTTAGAAGCCTTTTACCAGCGCTCTTTTATTCCACAGCTCCAAGACAAGGCTTACGTTCGCCCTCTGTTCGAAAATGGGAACAAACGTGTCCGGTGTCTTCCTCGTCTCATCCTCTGAGTGGACACGTAGAGAGCTGACAGTGAAGGGGGAGCTAGCTCAGATGGAATATCTGAGTTGGAGTAGGAAGAATTCTGCACTCAGTCCGCCATCTTGATTAGACTGTCATCCGGAAGAAGTCACCAAAAAAAATAAATATATATATACAGTACACACACACGTACATATAAATATACAGTGTATAATATATATATATATATATATATATATATATATATATATATATATATATATATATATATATATATATACATACATTCTTTAATATTAATATTCAAATCAAATGGTCAATTCTCAAATCTGGGATAATATTTTCAGGAAAACATAACATTACCTATACAATGCTAAAACATATAGGGACTGTAGCATCCATAAGGTCATTTATTGTATAATAAAGTATGTGAGGGAAGTAAATTACCAAATGGTTGGAAGGAAGCCATTATAATTCCTATCAGGAGACCAGGGAAGAATCCATCAACTTCAATGTAATTCATAGTCCATATGGAAAATAATATGGAAATTATTTTATCCTTTTATTTGAA